TTATATTAACGATTTACACAAATATTAATCGCTAGCTAGATGACTTTTTAGAATGATAAGGGATTAATTAATTTATACGTTTATTTAATAATCTTTTAAAATAATAATTTGTGACATAAATTTAATAATAAAATTGTTGAAATAAATTAATTTATAGCATGTGCATATAAAATGCAGAGTGTATAAATATGGATTGGAGAGATAGAGCTGGATTTTGTGATGAAGAGGATGAATTTAAGTCTTTTATTAAGAGGTGGTATGGAATAAATTTTATTAAAATATTAAGAGTAAAAAGAGGGGAAAATATCATTTGAAAAAAATATAAATTAGTGAGATAGATTTATTTTTAAATATATTTTTGATAAATATAAATTAAAATTTTAATTGAAGTGACTAGTAATTGAAGGTGTGTTTTTATATACATGTTGGGATTTATAAATAAGTATCCTTTCAATGATGTGTACTCTTCACCAATAATAATAATAGTAATAATAAGGTTAAAATAATTTGTAGGTTCATGAACCACGTCATTTTTTAACTAATTTTTTATATTTTAAAAGTTTTTAAGTAGTTATCTAAACTTTTAAATTATTTTTATATGATCTTCTAACCACATTTTTTATAACATTTCATTAAATGTAGAGATATAATTTAAGAATTTATTGAATAATTAAATCAGTGCTCTAGTACTTGAATAATTTGAAAAAAAATTAATTAAATACCGATATTTAACAAAGCTTTAATAAAAATGTGATAAAAAAATCAATTAAAAATGTTTTAAATATTCAGGAACCTATAAATTAATTTAGCATCATCATAAATGGACGCATTATCTTATTTTATAAGATTGCTCTTCTCTACAGCATAAGAAGCTTCTTAGACGAGTATAATTCAACGGTTAATCAAACTTTTTTTTTTCTCTTTTGTATATAAAAGAACAAATGTATGTTTGTTATTAATTTTTGAATCGTGAATGAGTAACCAATTTCTATGGATTAGGATAAATTAATTTATTTCGATTAATCAAATGAGATTTGGTCTAAATTATGAACTCCCAAATATTCAATTATGACCTTCAACCTTGTGATTGTAAATAGGACCTATAAGGTGCTATCAATTTTGTTTGAAGATATTATTTAAAATAATGTATTTCTTAAAAATTCTCTTAAGTTGTTAAAAACTTTTTCTTTAATTAAAAAAATTAATTTATATATATTTATGTGGGTAGGAATAATTTACTGGAAAATAACTTTTATTAATATTACTCTATTTAATAACTCTTTATAAACATTAATTTTTATAAATTTAAACATCAAATTAAAAACTCTTATTGAGTATATTAAATTTATAAAAATTTATATAAGTAAAAAATCAATTTACACCTCTTGTATAATATATATTTTAAAATTATAAATAAACATTAAATTTTAATATTTATTTATAACTTTGATTTCTCTAAAACTTGATCTCAATGATTAATAGGTTAATATTAAATGTTGAAATTATAAAATTTAGTGTTTATAAAGAGCTATTAAATATAATTAGAAATTTTCAATATTAAATGAGGTGATTTTACAACTATATCATGTGAGTGTATTTTAAAAATTATTTTTAAAAAAGTATCTTTAAGAATTTTTTTATTATGATGTGTCTATTTTTTCATTAAACATTTAATTTTTATTTTAAATTTAAATTTTTATAATTTATTTCTTGATTTTAAAATTACATTTTTTTTAATTCAGTCTTATTTGTATATAAAAATTTATTATTGATAATAAAATATTTACTTTTTAAATTTTAAAAATTAATTATACAATCAATATCTATATAATAAATTAGAGAAATTTATATTGGAAGTGAAATAGAGTTGCTTTTTTTTTCAATTTGTTACGTATATTTTTTTAAAATAAAATTGTTTAAGAATGATGTTGAATTGTATTTTCTTTAGTTGTAATGATTTTATTATTTTTATTTTTTATTAATTTTATTTTAATTTGTAAAAAAAAAAGTTGTTACTTAACTTCATTGTTTTATTTTATATAAATTTTTAAATTCTAAGTGAATACCTATTTTTTTTTTTTAGAGGAAAGCAAAGAAACAAACAAAAGAGGAAAAAAAGAAATTAAAATTTTGAATAAAGGACTTTTCTTGTATCAGCTTAAAAAAGTAATCTTAAATATATAGGAAGTGAGATTTAATATTCAAAACCACATGAAAAAACTCTCAATTTAACTAAAAAATCTGCACAGTATCGTTTTTACGCATAGTATGTTTTATAGTGATTTGTCACTTTTTTCTTTATCACTCCTTTATATCCTAGATAAGATTAGCATACTTGTGAAAATGTAAAATAATTTTCATTACAAGGTTTATGACCTCCATTGCGTCATAGTAACATAAGAGATATTTGATATTTTGATTTCACGTCATTTTCAACTTCTGAAGCATAGTTATAAGTTCAGCATAAATATTGTAAAAAATGTCAATGAACGCAAAAGTTTCTTTAAGTCAATTTTCATTCTTATTTCTAATAAGAGCACAAAAACCAGCTCTTCTTGGATTCTCCTAAGTACTCCATCAATATTAAGAACGAATTCAAAATTTTAATCAGCCTCCCAATGTACCTAACGCTCTAGGCAAACTTAAGATTGATACAACAAAACTTACTCATTACCAAATCAAAAAGTAAATCTATCACTCATAATATTTTTAGCCTTTTTGATTGCTTGCCAAGAGTGAAACCCTTCATCTTTATTATGATCTAACAAATTATCTTTCTTTACATATTTTTCTACAAGCAATTGGATTCAAAATTTATCTTTTTTGTTCATCATATCTCAAACTCTTTTACCCAATAAAACCACATTAGCTTCCCTAATTATTCTCAAACCAAGCCCACCATCTTGGGTTCTACGAGTGACTGTGTCCCTGTTCACCAAGTTAATTTTCTTTCCCTCATTATTCTTGCAAAGGAAATCACGCACACACTTATCAATTGAGTGATAAATAAATTTAGATAACTAATACAATTATAGGTAATATGTTGAGATTGTTGTAATAGTTGACTTAACTAAAGTTAAACGCATTGTTTTATTGAGGAAACTAGACTTGCAATTAGTAAGCCTATGCTAAATTTTCTCTACAATAAAGTCAAAGTGTCTCCTTTTCACTCTATCTTAGATAATTGGAAAGTTCATATACTTATCAAGGAAAAAAGTAAAACGAATACTTGAGATAGAGGTTAACTTGATTTGATTCTAACCATTGATATGAGTTGAACCATAAGCCCAAAATATTATCAAGTTAACATTTAGATCACATTCAACATTAAACTGATCAAGAATTTCTTTTATAATTCTGATTTGGGAGCTTTTAATTTTGGTAACTTTAATTGATTGCCACTTATTATTCCTTACAAATCTTTTATAATAAGAGCCAACATTTTCATATACAGAAGTAAGAGATATAAAGAAGGTATATTACTTTGGTAGAAACTACAATTTGAAAAATGAAGAAAAATTATTCTCATTTCATAAAATGCTTATGAATGTGATAGTAAGATAGTGCATAATAAGAGTCACTATTTTGTTTGATAATCAAAAGTTTACGAGAATACACCTTAAAAATCTCCAATCAATGTCATGAGCATTTTTTAGGTCTAACTTAAAGGCAACATTCCTTCTTTTTTTTCTTTTTAAATTTATGCATCATATAAATGATTTCATGCAAAATAACTACGTTGTTCATAAATACCTTTGTTTATATTTATAAATTTTTTTATTACTTTGTATACATTTTTTACAACTATTTTTGTTTATATAAAATTGATAATACATAATATATTATTTTAAAATGAGTTTGTTAAATTAATTCCAAAAGTTTGTTAAATTATCTCTAATAAGGACATTATCTAATAATAAAAGAAGAGATTCTAAAATTTTAAAGCTGAATTCAATCTTAAACTCATCTTAGTGGTTTACAATAATATTGACAAATTTATAAATATGTTTTAAGTTAACTACTCTGCACCTTTAAATAAAGTCTTAATTTTTTGTCCAATTTTTATATATTAAAAAATTTGCAAAACAAAAAATTTTAAATTTAACAACTGAACTATGTCAAGTAAGTTATATTTATAAAAAAGAAAAAAAAATTATCAACACATGTATTTTTATCCAACATAATTTTATTTGTGTCGAGTAAAATTACTTTAGATGACAAAACTTTTCTTTAAAATTTTAATACAACTGCATTCACCAAAATTTCAACTTGAATTCTTAAGTTAAATTGAAACAACTCCTATTAAATTTAAACTTATTTAAAACTATTGTTTAAAATTATTTTCTTAAAAATAGTTTTTACATTAATTTTTCTTGTTTAGATTTTAAATATCTTTTTATCATAGATAATTTAGCAAATTAAATTCACAAAACAAAACTTATTTAAATTTATTATTTTAATTTAATAAATAAATAATTTTTATATTATTTTTTAAATTTCAAATATCTTTTGTTAAATATAATCTTGAAAATATTTACAATTCAAGTAGAATTAACTGTCTGAACAGAGATTTTACATTCACAGAAACAATTAGATTAGCTCATGAATCAACCACTTGAAACAAGTATATATTACTTGAATCAACAATCTATTAATATATCAGTGAGCTTATTTAGATTATTTTAAATAAAGAATTTTGTTAACTTATATCCTTAGTTAAAAAAATAATAAATAACATTTTTATTATAAATTACGTTAAAATATATTAGAGTACGAATATTATTATATTATTTTTATTACAAATTTTTATTTTTAAAAGAATACTTATTAACATTTATCTTAAACAAGGATACTCTAAAATAACTGCAAATATCTTTAGAGAGAAACATTTTAGCTAAAGAAACAAAGCTTTGAAAACATCAAAATGGATACATGATCCGGCCCATATGATACCCGCACCAAATCCCTTTTCCCTCCATCGCTTTCTCGGAAAAGAGAGCGCTGCAAATTTTTACAACCAAGTGGAAAATTGCAGTTAAACTTAAAACCTCACCACAAACTTTATTCTTTTTATTTTCTTCTATTTTTTCCATAATATTTTTCCCCCATTTTTGAATCCCGCGCAATACCAATTGGCTCCTTCTTCTCGTTCCGCTTCTTCATTATTCTTCTTAGGGCTTATCACTTCGTTTCCGCCATGTTTCTCGCACCCTAATTCTCATTGAAATCTCGCACCGACGCCGAGATACTCGCCAATCGATAAGCGTTCCGATGGCGGAGGAGCTGGCTCCTCCCGGCGCCGGCGATTCGTCGTCGTCGGCGAGAGCTCCGTCGTCGTTCGTGAAGAAAGGCGACCGCCAAATGTTCACGGTGGAGCTCCGGCCGGGAGAGACCACTATAGTGTCGTGGAAGAAGCTGATGAAGGACGCCAACAAAGTTAACAATGGATCCGCTTCCGCACCCGAGCACCGTCCCAATGCGCACCCTTCGCTCGAGTTGGTTTGTGTATTGCTGAGATTCCTGCATAGTACATTGTGTTACTGTGGAATATGTATATATATATATATATATTCATTTAATATGTCAGAGCTTAATGAGCTGTGACTGCATTTTTTTTGGCGTAGAATTTTGAGTCAGGAAAATGGCAATTGTTAAGAAGACCTATTGCGACTGACCTGGCATGATTTTTGCCTAACAATTTAGTTTTCTATCTTACAATAAAAACAACATTTGTTAACTCAAAGGTGCCACATTGTTTTGTATCGGTGAAAACCTTTCAGTGCTGCTTGTTCAGAAAATCATTTGAGTGCTTTTGGTGGCAAACTCTCAAATTGCTCCTCCAAGCACTCACATATGGCTTCCAATTTATTAAGTTGAATGGTTGTGCTTATTTGACTTATTGCGTGTTTTTATATTCGGTGAACTGATGGAACTTCATGCCATTTGCTTTCATTTGAAGTGATATGAGTAACAGGAGCTAATGTTATGCTAACTAGTTTCATATTTGATGCCCTAAACTTTTCTCATTAGTTTAAGGCAATTACAAAAAGGGTGACCATTGCACTGTGGCTCCCACCAAGTGGAGTCTGGGGAGGGTAGATTTACTAGCTTTACTGCCCCATCATTAGAGAGGCATTTTTTCAAGATTTTAATCTGTGACCTAAGGCACCTTACTGTTGGGCCAAGCCTCATCCCCTAGTTTAAGGCAATTATACAACTATAACAACAAAGTCATTTCTCGTTAGGTGAGGTTGGGGAAGTATAAGCTATAAGGCAATATCTTTTCATAAAAGTCAATCAGTGTTATTTGCAGGAATTTTTATTTGTTTCATACTTTAGTTATTGTTTTTTACTTCTGCCTGCAATATGTTGAGATTTTTATTAGCTGTATTTTCTTTTGAAATTAGTAGATATATCTGATTAAGGCTTGATTATTTAAGAGAAAAATAAGTGTGGTATGTATGCCACAGTTCACCACTATCTGGCAACCACTTTTTGTTTTAATAGGATAAGTGCTGTTGTTTAGAATTTATTCTCATAATTCATAACTAAATAGTACATATAGTAAGCCTATTTATTTGTAGCATGAAATTATATTCTATGAAATATATGGAGTCAGAGTTATCAAGCCTTGTATTGAATCTAGCTTGGTTTATGCCACAGTGTAATTATTTGTCATCTGGATACATGTATTATATACCAGCAGATCAGCATATTGTCTTTCGAAATTGTATATAGTTTTGTGCTTCACTATTTTTATGACACTGTCATTTTTAGGGATACCATAAGGAGATTGAAGAACAAGGTGCTCCTCTGACAAACCGTTTCAATGCTGTAATAGAGAAGATTGAACGCCTTTACATGGTATGCGTGTGCTGCTTCCTGAGATTGTTATTCAATGCTTTATACAAGCATGAATTGGTTTCACTATAAGCGTGCATTTGGTTTAGCTTATTTTGAGGAAATAATTGCTTACAACTTTTTGAGTGTGCTTTTGAAAAATAAATTACTCCCTCTGGTCCTTTTTATGAGAAACAAAATGCTAAATCATCAAGACCAAGGAAAGCAATTAAATTTGTTATGTTTTTCATAAATATAAATTTTATTCCAAAAATACTTATGATATTAAATGGTGTAGTTAGTAATTTGTATATTTAATGATATTAATAAAGGAAGAGTATAAAAGAAATTTAGTAATTAATGCATCTTGAATCTATCATTTGTTTCTTATAATAAGGACTAAGAGTGCTTCATTTTGTTTCTTATAAAAAGGACCGGATGGAGTATTTGTCAAAATTTAATCATTCCCAAACAAGCACTAAATTTATATAACAGATGCATATGTAAGTATTTTATTAAATTTTACTATTTATATTCCATGTCGGGAATAATGAAACACTGAATCATTTTTAGGGTAAGGATAGTAGTGATGAGGAGGATCTACTTGATGTTCCTGATGATCAGTATGATACGGAAGACTCTTTCATTGATGATGCCGAGTTGGTTGGTATCATTTTATTCTGTTTTGGTTTGTTATGGCATTATAAGTCTTTTGACCTTTGATTGATGACGTGAATATTGTTGTTCTATATTGTGGACTTTTCCCCTTGCATATTAATTATTTTTATCTTGTTCGATTGTCCTTTCTGCAGGATGAGTATTTTGAGGTTGATACTTCTGCTATCAAACATGATGGATTCTTTGTAAATAGGGGGAAATTGGAACGCATGTAAGCGTTTTTAGTTTGACTTTTAGCTTTGAGTATGTTATTTCTTTTCTATACAATGACAAGCCAAATTTATACACAGCCTTGTGACCCAGAGGTCACTGGTTCAAATCCTGGAAAGAGTCTCTTTGCTTGTGGGGCTAAGGCTGTGTACATCTTCCCTCTTCAAATCCCACTGGTGGGAGCCTCATGTACTGGATTGCCCTTTTTATGTCTACTACCTTTTTAGCAAGCCTTTGGATATTTTTTATTTTTTTAAAGTTGATGGGTGAAGTATTGAAGTTAATGAAAGTATGAAACTATGTTGCCACAATGACCAATTCTCTTAAGAGTCATTTATGTTTGCTTTTGGCATTACCTGAACATGAAATGAGGTCATTTTTCGCTCATGATCATTGTTTGAATTTCTTGTGTGAAACATGTTAGTTTTATGCTAGGAATGTTGAGGATTTATTTTTGTTGAGTGCAATGTAACAGCCATGTAAAAGAAGGTAGTACTCCAACTCTCTTCCTTATTTGCAGATGCTAAGACAAAAGATTGATTAATTTTTTTCACATCATAAAAGTTCAAATAAATTCTAGAAGGGTTTTGAAGTTCTACCCATCAAGGCATTAGGGTGGAGTTGATCGATGGCTATTAGCCAAATCCATGACTAAAACATGATATTTGATTCTTTAGTTGTGGCAGCTTGAATGAACTTTAAATTTTGATGAGTGGTTCTTTCACACTGTTTATCAATTTCCACATAATGTTTGGTGCAGACTTTTGTTGTAATATTAAATTTAGGGTCGAAATTCCTAAATGAGCTTTGTCCCTTCTCATTTGTTTTAATTATTTTCTTTCAATATTTATGCAGTAACCATTTACTAATTTTGTTTGATCTCCTGGCTGAAAGGGAAATAATATCTCCATTTTTTAGGCAGCTCATTAACTTGTAGATATCAAACAGAAATAAAAACATTCATATTTGAATTCATCAAAAGACTAGCATCATGCAAAAGTAAGACCACACAAACATAAAATTTGTTGTTAGAAATTCATATAGACTTTTTGAGTAGCATATTTATTTTATGTTTTTCCTTTTTTGTATTCAATCTATCTCATTAATCAAAATTCTTCTTTTATAACCAATGCAACATAGTTGTGAATTGTGTACTATCATAGTGGAGCGTCACTTTGTGGCCCTAGGCAATTACCATATTCAGTGTGACTCCTATTAGGATTCCTCCCCCCCACCTCTTTCATTTTGAAACAAAGGGTTTGAAATTGGAAGCTTGTTCTGAAACAATTGAGTGTAACTTTGTCTCTAAACATTACCTGCTGTTGTCTGGTGCCATTTCTAATATTTTTCTGTCTTCCTGGTGTTTCTAGGCCTGCTCTGTTCTCTAGCACTATCTGGTGAATTGTTCTTCTGTTTTTGTTCTTTTATCTCTTCCACTGTTCTGTCCTCTATGACTTTTTATTATTAATTATGAATGTCTTTAATAAACAATTTGGTCCAACCTGCCAGATTTGAACTAGTGACCTAACGATTACTTTGAGATTTTATCCCACTAGGACAGTCTCCTCCATGGTAGTCAAATCGCATGCCGGAACGTAAACTCGCACGATTTTACAATCTCCAACTCCCTCTCGGTGCCAAGATCGGGTGGGATCGCCATGCCAAAACGTAAAACCGGTAAGCTTGGACGATCCCCCCGTGTTTTCAAACCCAATGACCCGCAACCCATTTTGCTTGAAACCCTAAAATTGATTTCGTTCTGTGATCCCTAAACCTTTCCTCTGATCTGCTACTTCGTTCCTCTGCTTTGCGATCCCTATAACTTTCACACCGGTGACTGTATATGCTTTGGCCACCTTGTCTGTGCCGGTGACCTTGTCATAGCTGAGCGTTTTGCTGTGGCAACCATCGCAGCTGTATTTGCAGCTATTGTCGTAGCCTAATTCGCAGCGCAACAGTGCTGCTGGAGCAAAAGTTGTTGACTTTCCTTTTCTATCCCCAGAATGAGGAAGATTTTAGGGTTTTTTAAGGGTAAAAAAGGCTTCTTATATTTTAAAAATAATTTGACTTTCCCTTTTTGCCCTTAAAATGATTGTGCTACAAGTTCTTTTAAGGGTAAAAGAGTCATACATTACCTAATCCATCTTTTCTGTCTCTGTTTTTAATGGACATGTCCCTGTTTCTGTTGAGTTAAGGGTGGTTCCTTTCCCTCATTTGTCTTTGTTTAGCCTTTTTCATTTTTATATTTATACTATTTTATATGTATTCATACAAGTTTGTAGGATCTTATGATCCGTGTTACGATCTTACAATACGTGTTACGATCTTACGAGTTGTAATATTTCACCCCTTCTCTGATCCCACGTAAAATCTCAATTTTGACTACTATGGTCTGCTCTACCAACTGAGCTAAGTCCAACAATTATTGGACTCAAGAAATAAATGCACTGAATTCTGAATAAAGATAGAAATAATCTGGTTTTAGGCTATATTTGATTACACAGGGTTTCTCTTGAACAAGGAGTTTCCTCTTCAAAATACAAGGAATAACAGTCTGACACCTTAATTGCCTTTTACAAGTAACACAAATTATATATCACTATAACCGTCACATTCAAACCTTTAACTTCCTAATCTGAAATTAATATACTAATATTATAACTTCATAAATTATATTTTGGCCCATTATATGTGGAGTCCTTTCTTCATATTCCTGACAATATATTTAGCATTGTTTTTCTGGCTTATAGTTGAATATTCTTTCCTGTGACACTTGTCTACATATGTTGCACCAAACTTTTTTTAGTCAATTAAGTTGTAGGTTGGAGTATATGAATGATTCATACAGATTCTTCATTGTTATTGATTTTCTGTTTCTTTATATATTTCAAGACATGAGCCTCCAATATTACCTAACCAGCAAGCAAAGAAAAGGCGCCGAAAAGATATTTTGAAGAATCCTGTTGAGAATGTTGATGGTTATGTATCAAATAAACATGTAAAATTAAGCAAGACAGCTTCTGGAAAGGCTGCGTCATTGTCTGCGAAGAATATGAGTAATTCCTCAGATAATTTGGCTGTACCTGGTGAACTTTATGAAGACTTGAAGATACAGAATCAATTGGATGTCTCTGGAATTAGTTCTAAAAAGAAAAGTGCTGATAATAGGCCAATATTGGATCCTTCTGTCTGCTCGAAAGTATCAAATGATGATGCTCCTGCTGCAGAAGCAAAAGATGCTGACAAGAAGAAGACAGGAGTATTTCAATCTAAGAACACAAATGATAATTATAAAGATGCAAGTGGATTGCTTGATACTTCTCATCAGAAATATCATGAAAAAAGTGCATGTGCACATTCCAAATCTCAACCTGGAAGAACCCCAAGTGGTGTTGACAATTTAGAAAATATTGGCCAGCCTAAAGATAAAAATGGCATCCGTGAACTACCAGATCTTAACATGTCTGAGGGGAAATCTGCTATGCAAGTACTAGTAAGTTTTCTTCATGTGCTTTTCTGTTGTCTTCATTTTGATTCCAGTATGAAGCATGATGGAACATGCCACCAAATAATACTCCTTTGTAGCATCAACTTCCATTGCAATTAACAGGTCAAATCTTACATTGAAGCATGGCATGCTGTGTGCCAGGAAAAGCGTGTGAACATTTCACAACAATGTGCCAATTAATAAGGAGAAGAAATGCTTTGCTGACTCTCTTCTTTACTGCATGAAGTGCACACTTTCTTGTTTTCTTAGTTGTATATTATCATTGCTCCAATCAATCTACTCCCTTGATTTGTTACTTTGATTGTTGGGATGTATCCTTTCTCATTCAAAATAATTGTTACTTAATTTAAGAGATATTGGTATGTATGGGTTGATTTATTTTTAAAGAGAAATTAAAGTGGGACTTTGGCAAACTATACTATCCTTCTAACATGCACTTGATAGATAACATGTTATTAAAATGACTTTTGAAAATGGAAATTGTGAAAGTGGAATGTTATGTGTGTATCATATAACGTGTTAGTCATAACTTAAGCTTGGTTGAATCTTATGCAGAAATCTGAAAATGTGGTAAAGAGAGATGGTTCTATTGTTAGGCCAAAAACTACAATGCTTGAGAAAGCTATTCGAGAGTTGGAGAAGATGGTTGCAGAATGTAAGTTCGGAAATTGTTTGAAGTTATGTTTTCTCATAGATTGACAATGTGGGAAATTTTGTTGCTAATGCTATTATTTTTAAAATATGACTACAGCAAGGCCACCAACTGTGGAAAACCAGGAGGCTGATACCACATCTCAAGCTGTCAAACGGAGATTGCCTAGAGAAATAAAGCTAAAACTTGCTAAAGTTGCTAGATTAGCGGTATTGGCAAATTTTGTTTCTCTTATGTTTTTTTTACTAAATATATATTATGCAAAATTTTATTATTTTTTTCTTGAAGAAAATTGTATAGTTTTGTATTATAATACAGAGAGAGAGAGAGAGAGAGAGAGAGAAAGAGAGGATGGATGTGAATTATCTGAAATGATTTCAATCTCATTGAATCGGATCTAGATTGTCTCCAGTTCGCACGGGAACTGGACGTCCAGTCCTTTTTTCACTTAAGCGAATCTAATTCGCTTAAGCGAAAATCAGCTATTTTCGCTTAATTACATAAAAAAATGGCTTAAGCGAATTTTTCTATTCCCTATTAGTTTAAGCTAAAAAAAATGGCTTAAGCGAAAATAATCGGCTTAAGCGAAAAATGTAAAAAAAAGATAACTTTGAGAACACCAAAGGAGTAGATGTCTAGTTCCCACGCAAATGAAGACAATCCGGATCCCATTGAATCTAATAGTTTCAGAGGTATATTACAAGAGCCTAAGCATGTGATGCAAGTGCAACCTACTTATAACAGAAGCAGTTAGTCTGTTAACAGGCTACTGAAGATTCTAGAACAGCTAACTCTAGGACAGCTGACTCATTAGCTAATATTGAGATTCTCTATCACATTGTGAGTATTGACTCAGCTTTTGTTGCAGCAGGCAAGCCAAGGGAAAGTATCGAAGGAGTTAATTAACCGTCTTATGAGTATTCTTGGGCACCTGATTCAGCTCAGAACACTAAAGGTATTTCAGCTTGTTAAACATAACAGATAATCCTTTTATATCTATTGTTTCAGTCCCTCCTTGTTGTCTCACCCTGCCCGACGTTAGCTGACATGTATAGTTTGGGCTGGTATTGGTTGCATGAATGTTCTTTTCATTATTGGTGTTCTTAGTTCTAAAGAATACTTGATGATTGATGCTTTATATTCTGTCACAATCACTATTGATTGTGCATAGGATGATCGGTGTACTTATTTTCACCTCCTGCTATTTGTCCCTATTACCATATGTAAGGCTGCCTAGTGCCTACTATAAACCTCCATAGTGGGTCTGAACTTTCCTTGGATCCAATGCATAGCAGTAACTTTTAGTACTAGGCTGCCTTCTTTTGTACTATTAGTTGTTGAACAAATTTGAAACTAAAGATTGTCTCTCTGAAATCATCTATCGTGCTGTCCACTATCCTAGACTTGGTACAATTGTAGTTTGTTCAATGATTAGGATTAGGATATGATTTAATAAATCCATATTTATGCTTTGAATACATTCCTGAGCTGAGTCCCATTGTGGTTTCATTGACTTTTGTGACCTAAAATATGGATTCTTGTTTTTTTTCCTTTTTCATTTCACTTTTCCCTTTTAATGTTGTACTTCATGCAGTCTCTGAAATTCTTATTTCTAATTGATAGTTTGTCAACATTCATTTTAATAAAAATTGTTCTCCCCTAAGAGGACCTGTTTGTTTTAGATTTTGGAGACTCCAGAGTGACTGATGGTCTCCCATAATTGATTCTAATAAAAATGTTATATAATTTTTCAAGCTCACAATTTTTTTATGCCAAAGAAATAATTGTAGAAGTAATATTTTGTTGCATACAGTGAATGTCATTAATTCTAGCTGTAGGAGCTGGTGTTTTCCCAAAAATCTCTGCTCGTCACTACAAAATTAATTGTAGCAAGTAGACTATAATTTTCATCAAATTTATTCTTCAATCTCATTATAAATATCGAATAAGCTTCAATGTTGAAATCTATTCTTTTACAGTCCAATCCCAAAAAGCATTTTCCACTTATAACTGTTCTTCTCTTTGTTTTTATTCATCACATCATTGTATAAATCTATTTAGTTACCCTTAATGCTTGAATTGAAACTTACCTTCTCATGCAATGTCTTCCTGCCACAGAGAAACTTAAAAATTATGATCAGTATGGGTTTGTCTGCAAAGCAGGAGAAAGATGATAGGTTTCAACAGATAAAGAAAGAAGTTGTTGAGATGATTAAGATTCAGGCCCCATATATGGAATCCAAGGTTTATTATAGTTCCCCTTGCTATTTCATTTCATATCAAATATTGGTAAACTGGCTCCAATGTGTTCTATTTTGACTTGTTCAGTACTCCATCTTGCTTGTTTTAGCTGGTTCATTGTTGCTCTTCTCCGGTTCCCAACATTAGATTATTATAATCCATACTAAATTTCATTTCTTATGTGTGCTTCTCTCTATTGATTTGGTGCAATTTTGAGTTTTCTGTGCAAATCCTATTTCTGGCATGTTTACTCATCAATCATTTTTACCTGGAAAGGGATTTCATTAGTTGTAATTAACTAATTATGAAAAAAAATCTAGTCTTCTTGCTATATCTTCTGATGTTTGCACTTTATCTTTATTATTAATATTCAGGAAACAATCATACTCTTAATTAACTAATATTTTGGTTATTTACTATGGGACCTTTTTTTTTTTTTTTTTTTTTTTTTGTTTTCTTGGCATTTCAGCAACAGCAGCAAGCTGGAGCATCTGGGGAACAAGAATTAGGTCCTGATGGAAGGGTAATAACTAAAAGGAATTTCAGTATGGACATTGCATTGGAAGACAAGATCTGTGATCTCTATGACCTTTTTGTTGATGTACAGAAGTTTGCGCCTTAAATACTCATTTTGAAGATCCTGTTTGGTTTGAAAAAACTTGTTATTAATGAATGAATCTTGTTCGCAATTGATTCAGGGATTAGATGAAAATTCAGGTCCGCAAATCAGAAAGTTGTATGCTCAGGTGGTTCAAATTTTCTAACTCTTTCTCTCAATATTGATCTAGCAGAGTTATTGGATAGCATGTGTTATGTTTATCCGGAGTAGGATAATGAATTTATGCTTCAGAGGATCACAAACTCAAGTTGGTTTTTCATTTCATTACCTGCTTCTTCTAAGTTGATTTGGTTTATTTTATTTTCTATGTCTACTTGTTTAAGTTAAAATTAGTGCTGTTTAAAGTATCTTCTATCGTTTCTTTTAAAGACATTGAGAAGAAGAGGGTTCTCAATTGTTTTTTCATGAATGAAAGTATTTGTGATACCCATTTTTAGTTCTTTTTCCTTCTTCCAAGTCCTCAAAAACAGTTCTTTCAGAAGCTTGTTTTACTTTGCATTTATGTATTTAATATGCATTTCCAGTGCCCAAATGAATATATTTGCTTTTTGAAACATAATCTTTTTCTCACTTTCAAGTCCCATGTCTTCTTCAGCTTGCGGAATTATGGCCAAATGGTTACATGGACAACCATGGGGTCAAACGTGCAATTTGCAGGGCAAAAGAGAGGCGCAGAGCTCTGTACAGCAGAGATAAGGTGTGCCTTGCAATGAATAATAGCTTTTAACTTTGGTGAAGTAGTATTCTAAAATCTCTATTAAAATGAGAAACAGCCTTTCCTTGTTCTGAGTTTTTTGAAAATTTAAGAGTTTCATGATCATAGTTTGGGGTCTAGCCTGCAAATACCTATGTGGTATGATCACAATGGAAACTAAACATGGTATAGTTTTTTTCTCCACATCCTTACCGAAATTTGGAACAGGAAAGCTGTATTCGGATATGTTAATTGGGGTGTTAAATAGATAACTATGATATAAACTGCAGAAAATATTGTTAAGATATTGAAGTTATTGAACTATTGCATACTGGATGTGTCAAATCTTCTTTGCCCATAGCTATAAATGGAAGTTCAGATTTTGCAATTTTTGGATTCTTAGTCAGATACTGTTGTGTTTTCTACAATAGTCTTTAGCTGGGAGGGAGACTCTTACTATTTTCTACATTGGCTTTTGGCATTTTCTCTGCTCTGTTCTCCTCTCTCTCTCTCTCCCCCCCTCTTCCTCTTCCTGTCCCCCTCCCAACCCCTATCGTTGACCACTCTTATTAATCTTTTTATTGTTTTTGTGAACAAAGAAAACGCACCTTATAGGATATATCATAAACTGATCAACGATCTCCCATTTCAAAGAATAGTATTTATTTCTGGATTTAACCTTTCTCTTTTCCAGTCTTCATTTATTCATGTCTCACTCCCTATTTAACTATTGGCTATGCCATCTATTTCCATGCAATTCTGGTGATGGCTGCAGATTTCTTTCGAAGGGTCTCTGTATTATTGCATGAATTTTTGGATTTTTTATTTATATTTATTTATTTATTTATTGTATTTAAGTGTTAGTAATGATAATAAATTTTTTAGTCATTTTATTTAATTTTTACTAGTATGTTATTACAAACCCTTAAGAGAAAGAACTGGGAAATCTAGAGAAGAGAGAAAAAGAGAACAAACCTGCAAAGATTTATTGAATCTCAACAGAAAAAGGATAGGATTCTCTTTCCAAGGCTTTTCTCCTTTTACAACAGAGTCATTGCTCTGTTTCCAAAACCTACAGATCTGTATGATCCTCTTCCACTTCTCTCCTACTGTTTAAGCTTAGTGTCTACTCTTTACAACTTGAACTACCCAACCACTTAACTATTCTAACTACTCCCTGGGCCCTAACAATTCCATCCCTTTGAAGTTCAACCTCATCCACAAGGTTGAAATATGGGAACCTAGATCTTAGATTGGCCCCTTGGGGTTCCATCTTAACAATCTCATCTTCCTCATCCATTTGTTAATCTTTCACCAAAATTCCCCATATATTCTAGGCACCTGTGCACATGGTTATTAATATTGTGGAATAATATTGCTACAGAAATCATGTTGTGAAGCATCTTGTTGTTACCATAACTCTTGAGTCTGAACAGGGATAAAAACCCGTCTATGCCTTCCATTTTGTGTTGTTGACCTGTTTTTTTGGGGTTATTTTGCCACTTCTCTTTAATTTGGGCGTTTATTTAAGTGTTGTATAAATTATTTAACTAAAACCCTTCAGTATAGCAGTCATGTGGTTATCATGCTATCTTCAGTTCCCCTTTAAAGAGGTTTTGCAATCAGCCACTTCATGTTGTTATCCAGGATTCATGACCACTATGCCTGCACATGACCAATGATTGGCCACACTTGAAGCATATACTATCTTCCCTTCTCCATTCCTGGTATGGGAGCTGCTATGCTCCCCTGTTTCAATGTGGTTACGTACTACTGCTATTGGGCTTAGAAGTGGAGTTTGCCAATACTTCTATGTCAATCCTTTTTGAATCATTGTTTGGGCTGGTGTTATTCTTGAATGAGCCTGACAACAATGTTCCCTGCATCAAACTGGGTAAATACCCATTGTAGTTTCCCCTCCACCTCCATGTGGATGATGTCTTAAGGGCATCTCCTAAGGGGAGTTTGGTGCATGCAGCTCCTCTTCAATATCTTGGGCTAGATTTATGGCCTTGTAATATCATTAGGGTCATGTGTCCAAACTCTGCATTTCACTTTGTGTACTGGATTCACCCAAGAAATACCATGTAATTGCTCAAAATCTCCGCTGCTTGTGCCACCAAGATTTTCAAATCTTATAGTTGTATATACTCATCAACCAATCCCATTTGCCACAAGGTAGCCATTCTTTCTTACACATTGCTCATGTTTCTTCTTGCAAACCTTTGCATCAATGCTGTCATCAACCCTTCCTAGATCAAACCTGGTGTCTTACCAAAACATCTGAACTACTGTGCCACTGTGCCTTCCATGCTGACAAATGTAGGTTTTACAGTTGTAGTCAGCTCTGTCTGATCTCTACAACAATAACATCTAAGCCTTATCTCACTAGGTGAGTTCAGCTACATGGATCACACGATGACATTGAGTTCGGTCAAAAACTAAATCTTTAGAAATTTGGTTAATCAAAAGATCTCTTTGAATAACTTCGTCTAAGGTTCTCTTGGGTATCCCTTGACCCCTCTTAATTGGACTAAGAGTCATGTAGTCCACTTTACTTACTAGCACCTCTAAAGATTTTCTCTGCACATGACTAAACTACCTTATACAATTTTCAGTCATCTTTTCTATTATAAGTGTTACTCTAATATTTGCTCGTATACTATTATTTTGTATTCTATCTTTTCTTGTGTGTCTACTCATCCACGTTAGCATTCTTATTTCTGTTACTCTCACTTTTTTACTTTTTCCTCTTTTAAAGCTCAACATTTACTAGCATATATTATAGTAGGTCGTATTGTAGTATGGTGTACAACTTTTGTTCTAACTTGATAGGTACATTACAATCACAAATAATTCCTGATGTCTTTCTCCATTTTAACCACAGCTTGTATTTTGTGAGTAACATCATTAATTTTCCCATCATTTTGTATAATCAATCCCAAGTGCCTGAAACTGGAAACTTGTGGTATAATATCCTTGTCAAGCTTAACTTTCAATATATGATCCTCAAAATTAGGCATATGATCTCTAATGCACCGAAACAACTTCAAAGCAATCCACCCCACTGAGTTGTTGCCATCAAAATTAGGCAATTCAACTTTTCTTGCCCTTGTCAAAAACTCATTGAAGATGAACTGAGAGATACCATAATATTGTGTCTCAGTTTCCCCTTTGTTGGCCTTGAACTTGACATATCATTGAGGTTTGTACATTGTCTTCCTCCCCCATCAAGGCTAATACCCTTCCTTTGTCCATATTGTTCTGAATCTCTGCCACATGAGCATCTAGAGAACACTTTCACACCCCATGCTTATTGATCATTTTCAAAAACTCCACTGGATTCTCCAGTGCTTCTATTCTCAGTATCATCTTGTCCCTGGAAAAAAAGGATCTGACAACCCAAACCAAATTGTTACAAACTCACATGAGAAACAATTGAGAATTCTAGAGAAGCGAGAAAGGGAACAAATCTGCAAAATTTTATTGAATCTCAAAAGAAAAAGGATTTTCCCTTTTACAACTGAGCCAATGCTCTGTTTCCAAAACTAAAAAAAGAGCTGATTCCTTACTAAAAGCTTTAACTGCCAAACCACTCTACTATTCTACCTAACCACTCTTAGGGCCCTATCATAATGTGGTGTTTGATATAGTTAGGTTGTTAAGGGCCTGATCCCTATGCAAGCATGAATACTACTATTAATTCTGACAACTGAAGCTGTCTCAGGTCTTCCAAAATGAAGATGCTCCAATTATCATGTCCCTTCCTGTTCCCATTAAGGCTATTTTTATGAGCTTTGCTTTCTTAATTTGTGTCTATACTCTATTATTCAAACTCTAAGCAGCATAGCTTGACAAAGGTTTATCTTGGCATGTTTAATAGATATTTATTTGTTAAAAAACCATTTCTGTATGGCCATTAAGTGGGGGAAATTTTAAATGACATGGTGAATTTAATTTTTCATGATTTAAATGCTGTGGGATTGTCATGGCCATTGATGTCATCAGAAGAATTGGAGAATTGCTTTTTGTTCTTTGAATGTGCAGAGATGACATGCAGGATTGGATATTTGTGAGGATGATGGTTTTAGTTTATTTCAATCTCATTGGTTTGCTCATATATTGTTAGGATCAGGAAAAAATTAAGAGGAAAAAGTTATTGGCACCTCAGCAAGAGGAGAATGTTCAGTTTGATGCTACTTCAGTTACTTCACAACAGCACATGCGAGAGAGAATAGCTATGGACGCTAGTAGTCACGCCTATGCTTCAGTGAACAAGGCAGTTTCTAATACAGTTACGGTTCCTCGGGTTCTCAACTCTTCTGCGAATGGTCTGAAACAAGTAAAGGGAAGCTCAAGTGGTTCCTTGGATGATGTCAGGGTTGCAGATGCTGTTTTAATAAAGAAGAAAGCAAGGAGAAAGCCTGAAATGGAGTTGGAAGGAACTCATTGTCGCCCTGAAAAGATGGCTTCTTTGCATGGAGAAGAAAGGTCTAGGTCCCTAAAGCAGTCTGCAGGTGTTCCCCCCAAATCAAACTTTCAGCCAGCTTCACTCCCTGGTCTTCAACAGTCAAGCTAACATGAAGTCAGCTAGGATGTTCACACTACAGGATGTCTGTGTATTAGTTTTTTTTTCCTCCTAATTTTTTGGCTCAATCCTCCCCTCCCAAAATCATTTTGTATCCTTCTTATTACCATTTTTGTAATTAATGTCCTTGCACGGTTCCTTGAAATATAGATAAATTTTGTTGGTTCAGTCATTCTGGTAACTCGTTCAGGCCTCGTATGCTCCTCGCTGGTAGTGGTGCTTCAGCAGTGGGCCTGCAAATTTTGATAAGACAAACGCAAATAATCCTGAATCGGTGGTTCATAGACGAGCACTAGTCATAATAGGCTTAAGATCCTTGAAATAAATAATCAAGTGAATAAGCCTATATCGTTCTTAGTTTAATTTAAAGTGCGTCACATCTTTAACCCATAATAACGTTGGACTTGTCATGATTTTGTACAAGATTGAGTCCCAACCTCAATTCTATAGTTCAAATGCCAATACTGAACTTTTGTTCAGTTGGGGTGCTTAATACTACAGGTCAAAAGTACTCGATAAGTCAATGCTGAAAAAAGTAGGAATCTATTTGCTGCTATAAGCTACCTAATCAAATGAAGTATTTGGTAAATTAACTTTTTTTAACTAGTTTAATGTAAAACGTCATAAAATGATATCTTCAATTACAAATAATTGTGTTCTTATTTTAATTTTATTTTTAAAAAATTATCCAAAATGTTAAGTTTTTTATTCTTTTTTTAAACTATTTTTATTAAATAAGATGAGATAATATAAAAAGATTTATATTATATTTTCAATTACTCTACATTATATATATAAAATCTGAGTGTGTATCAAAATAAATGTGTTTTAGATATTTTTAATGATATTGTCAATTGTGACAGTTTATAATGCTATAAATTGTGACTTCCAGTTCATTGTGGCGGTATTTTTACTGTAATAATTAATTAATAGGAACAACTTGAAATCAAATAAAATAAATAAGATAATTTGTGTCTTTCACATGGAGCATAATTATTACAGTTGATTTTATATTACAGTCAATTTAGATTTTTTTAAGTTTATAAATACTTTTTAATATTTAAAATTTTAAAAAATCATAATCGTCCAACTAGAGAGAGAGATATATATAATATTCTCTCACTTTACAGGTATTGTAACAAGTATTAATAATAAAGGATCAAAATAAAATAAAAAGTTAGTAATTAAAGTGAAAAAAAATAAAGGACCAAAATAGTGATTTGATTATAGAAGATTAAATTGAAAATTCTCTTTATCTATTGATCTAATTGTCACTAATTCAATTGTAAGTTAATTATAAATCCTTTATTAAATTGATAATTAATTTACTTATAAAGAACATCAATTTTGGCCATATACCAAGTTTATCAATCTAACAAGATATCACGTTATATTTAAATTAGTTTTTGAAAGATGGTAATAAATTATAAAATTTCTTAACATAAATTTATACTATAATTATAATTTTTGTATTGACATATATATCAGAAAGTTTAAGTTAAATAAGTGTTGTATCGCGGTAATCACCTTGCTCTTGAAAGTAAATTTTAGTGGACTTTCAATATAACTTGATATATGTTTTGCTTCTCATAGTCATAGTTGCGTGTGTGGACTGCACTTAAAGCCTACTGTAACATCCTCGTTTTTACTAAACGATTAATTTATTAATATAGTTCTAAGTTAAAGTATGGTATTTGATTTTTTGAGAAAAATTGGGATAGAATTAGCATGAGATGCTTTAGACAAAATTGTTAGGTATATTTTTAAGAAGTTTTTAGTAATTTTTAATTTTAAAATTTTTAAGTTTCAATAAGTGTCAATTTGTGTTAGTTAAAATTGTTGTATAAAGTTAAAAATAACATTTTATTTTAATAATAATAATAGTAAAATTATAAAAAAATTATATTTTATTTATAAATATTATTTGGAATATAAAAATAATTTGTTTTGTAATTAATGAACATTTTTAGATTTTCTGGTTAATTTTACGTAAATTAGTTATATGTTCAAGCAGAAATTGCGTGTAAAAATTTTGGACACCAACTAAAGAATCAATAGTGTCAAAAATTATTTTATAATTATGTTTAATATATTTCATGATTATTTTTCAATTTTGGAATTTTTATCTAATTATTTCAATTAATTACTAAAGAATTAGTGAAAATTCTAATATTATATTATTATTTTCACTATTTAAGATAAGGATTAGTCTCTAAAGCTTCTCACTTCTTCCTTTCACTTCCGTAAGCCCCATTTTCTTTCTTCCAAGGAGCTTTGATCATCTTTGGTCTTAATCTCTTAAATTTCTAAGTAAGTTCATTAAATTTTTTTAATATTCTACCTATTTTCATCATTTTGAACACTTTGAACCGATTAATTTTTTTATTTTCTCTCTCTTTTTGGGTGCTGGAATAGTGGCATGAGGGTGAGATTTTGTCCAAAAATTTTATTTCTAAATTTTGTTTTAATTAGCTTAATCCTTCTATGTTGTATAATAAATAATTTTGGTGTTTTTTGTTTTGTTAAAAATGCATTTGAGAGTTCAAAACCCTTGGTCTAGAAGTGCTGTCCCAAGAGTGTTATCAAGAGAAAATAATTATTTTTAATCACCTTTAAGCTTATAGTATTCCATTTACATCATAGAAAATAATTGTAAGACCCGTAAGCCATTTTTGCGAAGATTAAAAAATGATAGTTTCAACTCACTAGTAGAGGGTTGGGTGATTAATGCCTTTTAACATTGATCATGATTATATGTGATTATTTGGTTAGGATCGTGATTTGAGAAGTGGTGGAAAGAGTACGTTGGTGAGAAAAATTGGTATACACTTAAAGGTAAGGGGGAACATATCTTTTTTCAAGAGTATAGTAGAAAAACGTTGGGAGATGAGATGTTTTATTCCTTGCTATGTATGTATAAATTATTTGAAGGAATTTATAATTATTTCCATACTTAGTGTACAATTGTTTGATATTCCTTTTTGAGATTGATTTTATGTGAGGTGATACTTCTATAATACTTGTTTGTTGAATTTAGTATAAATAATTGATTGCCTAAAATACTTGAGGAATGAACTATCATTCATGTGGAGTGATCATATAGAAGGTATGTTGAAAGTTGAAAAGAATTGGAGAATTGTGAAATAAAGATGTTTAAAAAAAAATGGGAAGATTTGAGATAAAATTTGATGGGTTTTGAATAGTGTTTTAGAAATTGAAAAATGCAATTGTGGTTAATTTTCTTCTTAAGGAAATGATTTTTTTATAAAAAAAAATCTTCTTTAATTTCAAGTGGTTTGGTCAAAATTTATTTAATAGTTTTTATTCATTTTAAAATATACCTATATACATATTTAAACAATTTAAAGTATTATAATTCATTTTAAAGTATTATTTCAAATGAGTATTTTGAAATGTAGTGATAATTGGGAAAAAAAAAAGTATTTGAGAGTTATTGAAATGCCTGAAAAGTTATGAAATGTGGTGGTGGTGAGTCTCTGCTTAAAATTATAAGTGTATTGGAATTTTCTAGCTGTTTTGCAGAGAGAAGAAAATTTAGAAATATCTGAATTATAGAGGAAACTCTGCCGGATTGTCGGTAGAATTTTGAAACATATGTTGTTCATTAAAAAGAAAAGTTTAATACCTAATTAAAAGACTGAAATTAGGTTCATGCAACATAAGCATGTAATGATGATGGTGTTGGATGGGAAGTATACGAAATCTAGGGGTGACTCCAGGTTAGTTTTGGGGATAGTTGGGTGTGATTGAGCCGGGCAAAGGTCAGGGCTCGCAACCCTGTGATGTCGATTCTCACTGCAAAACTGGACTATCCTGACAGAACCCGATGGATTATCAGAATCAGTTGAGCTATACCTTTGAAACTATCTAATGAGATGGTTATGACCAAGAATGGTTGGTGATAGTGAACTCCTGATCCTTCCCAGAAAGAAAGAAAGAGAAAAAGAAAAAGAAAAAGAAAATAGTTTGGGCCCACATGCATGTGTCAGTATAAAAATTAACTAGGTGATGCATAGAATCATACATGGCATGTACATTGTGTGTTGAGTTGTTGCTATTTGCTATAATGATTGTAAATATCTTGACGTGTTTTCTATTATACTTTGGTTGAAATGAGTTTGTCTCACCCTTTTAGTTGCTATGTGTGTTGTATGTGAATATGTTTAGTAGGTGAGGACACAAATGGCCCGACCACCGTACCAGTTCAGCGTCACGGTCAGATATGATCCTGAAGGAAGATGGACGCACGATTGGGAGCGACAATAGTTCACCCATACTGGCACTATTACCTTTTATTAGATAAAAACGGGTCAGGCCCACGGGCATACCCCATCCCTATCAGGATACCCATGAGACTCACTTTTCCATTTCCTCCTAGAATACTGTTAACTTTTGGAGGAAATGGTATTTTTGATAATCATGGGTCTAGGGGGAAAGCTTGTGAGGTCATTTTTGTTGTTGTTGTCTCTTATATCGTGACCCCACTTTATTTTGTATGCGAATCAGCTATATGCATATGTTTATATGACTATATGACTGTATATTTTGACAGATGATATGTATATATGTATTTGGATAGCTGGTGAAAATGGTGTATTTAGTTTCTATTAATGTAAACAGATGTAAACTCATACATATGGCTTTCTTACTGCTTGGATTATTTTAATATTATATTTATATTAATGGCGTAATAAGTAGTAAGAGTGTCACACCTACAGCATAATATAGCCTCACTAACTATTGTCTAGCAAAAAAACAAAAAAGTGAAGGAGAAAATTTGTAAATAAAAGGAATGATAATTTTTTTTTACTACATCTAATGTCTTAAGCAACCATCCTTTTTACGGTAGTGAAGAAAAGTTCCATTGCAAGAAAAACAACCCAACAATTTTCTAATGTATAATGTATTGTCATAAAAACAAAAAAAGTAATAAAATATTAAAAATTAACTCTTTCAAAATAAAAGAAATGAGTAAAGTGTGAAAAGTATTATTAATTTAATTAAATATTGTATAATCGTAATTAACTTTAAATTAATGGTGAATAAATCATTGCCTTTTCACGTTACACTTCTCACTTTAGAAGAAATAAATTCAAAGTATTGTAATATATTTCATTACAACCATGAATAAAATAGTAAATTAACGTACTTTTAATGTATTCATTTTTAGTAATAAATATAATAAAAATATTAAAAAAGATAAATAAATATAAAAAATAAATAATACTTAAGTATCATTATTCATAACATGTTTCAACAACATGACTATCAACATTAACTTGTTTTACAAAAAAAAAAAAAATGTACAATTTGTTAAACTTAAAGTTGGTTTGGTCATTTGTTGTTATAGTTAAGTTGAATTTAGGTACAAAATTTAAAAGTTATATTTACTTTATATTAAATTAAACTAAATTATATAATTCTTGTTTGCGCAATAGTGTATAATTTTATTTCATTTATTTGTGTATAGTCAACTGTTTAGTAAGAATTTCTAGATATATATATTCTCTCCAGTCACGGTGATAGAACTAAACGCGTTGAATTCCATTTTTTTTAACTAAAAATGAAAAAAATAACAAATTTTTTTATGCAAAATTCACTTAAGTGAATTTTAGAGTTGCTTAAGGGAATTTTGCATCTCCTTCCCTAACTTTATGTTTTTCCTCTTCCAAAACTCCATTTCCAACCTCTATATCCAATCCTCCTTTTCCTCTTCTCTTGTCCAACTTCTCTCTTCCTCTTCCCACCTTCTCATCTTATTCTCATACTCAACTTTTCCACTCCACTTCTAGACTACTCACTCTCCACATCTCCACCCAACCCTAACCCCCTTTTCTCCTCACGTTTAGCCCCCTCTCATGAAAAACAACCAAAATTCGCTTAAACAAATTTTACATAAATTTTTTTATCATTTTTTTATTTTCCTTTAACCAAGTTCATTTTTGTTTAAATTGGACGTTCAATTTCTGCCATAACGAGAGGTGATTCAGATCCAAGAATTCCTCTTTTCAAACCTCATTGTATGCAAAATTCTCTCTGTCTTATGATAATTACAAATTGCAAGAAAAATAGTGTTTGAACCCTTTGCACTTGCGACATCGTTTGCTCTTATCTTGAAAAAAAATATATTTATATTGAAATTTAAAAATAGAGTAGGAGTAATATTGTAAATATGCAAAACTATTTTATGAATAACTATGATGGATAAAAAAAATATCAACATTAAAATGTGAAAATATTAATGTTTGATATAGTAAATTGATAAAATGATGGTTTCAATGTTTTACTAATAATTATGAGTTGTTTTTTTATCTATTCCTATTTTTCCACATATTTGAGTTGTTAGCTTTTTTATTGTATGCATATACATATATTTGCTAATACAAATTATTATTATAATTACACGATCAATATATAGAAATTTATAACAATAAATTCATCATTATCAAAATGCATTTCTATTCTACATTCATAATAACTATGTACAAAGTCAAGTATTACAACAAATCATCTTATTTCAATACTTTTCTTACCTTAATTCTCTCAAAATAATGTTATTAAACTTTCATACTCAATTTTTAATAATTATTTATTTTATTATATACAAATTATATTTTTTTCTTCCTTAAATAAATTAATTCACACTCACTGTTTATTCAAATACAATCAAATTATATTAGTCACAGTCATGTGCTTTTTTAAGCTTAAGTTTAGTATTTCTACTAATTGTCTATTATTTTATAATTAAATGCTTAAAGAAAGTTATTCAAATACATGATTTCTAACTTTTTTAAAATACAAAACGTACTTGGAAATATTATCTAACTTTTTCATTCACGTTTATTAAATTATAATTTTTTTAATGTTGTGCTGTGATTCTGATACATCATATAATTAGGAGGTTGTGCTGTGATTTTCTTGCAAATTATTGTCTTTATAAGAATATTTTAGTTAAACTACACATGTTAACAAAAATTGTTAAAAGCAGTTTATGTATTAATGTTTCAACGATTAAAAGTATTCTGAGTTTATATTTAATTGAAGTTAACTTTTATTATTATATTAATTATTAAAAATTAAAATATTCAATAACAAAAATATAAATAAGTAAAAAAAACCAATAAACTCTCTTAATTTTATAAATATCCTGTATTAATCACCAAAAGAAAGTTTATGGAAAAAAGACCAAAAGCAGTGCCGAAATGTCAATTTTCAATTCAAGTTTTGGTTCCCTCATTTATTCTGCTCAAAACTTGACTGCATCATAAGCACAGCATCAAAATATCAATCCACTGATGCGACATCCAGAGTCTGAATTTAGTTTCGCGCGTTTTTTGTGAGAGCACGCACTCGCCACTCATTTCCCTCTCTTCTCCAAACTCATTCCACGAAACACAAATCACTCTGAATTAGAGTCTCATTCTTCAAAAGTCTTCGAAGAAAAAGAAAAAGATGCTGAAGGCGAAGGCATTCCAAGGCGCAAACGTGTTCATGTCGCGAAATCTGGTGCCACCCGAAGTCTTCGATGCGCTCCATGACGCCGTCAAAGATAACGGCGCCCAACTCCACCTCTGCTGCGACCCTTCCCGTAACGGCCCCAACGATTACCACATCATTTCTTCCAGTAAACACGTAATTCCTCATTCCCAATCTCTTTCTCTCTCTCTCCCTCCCCATTTTGTGATTCCTTTCTCCGTTTCGCAGGAGAAGTTCGATGATCTCAAATCCAAGGGCTGTAAATTGCTCGGTAATTTTCCGTTGTCACTTGCAACAGAATATGTGATTGAAATTGTTTTCTGTTGTTGATTGAAGTTGTCGCTGTTGTTTGTGTTGCATGATTTGATCTTCTAGGTTTCAGTGATAGTACACACACTCTATGCACGTGCTTTTGTGTTGGTTTCTGTAGTTGAATTTGAAATTGGTGTTGTTCATGATTTTGTTGCTTCGATGTGATTGAACAGGTCCTAGATGTGTTCTTTCGTGTGCGAAAGAACGAAGGCCTCTGCCTAAACAAGGCTTCACTTGTTGCCTTGCCATGGATGGCGTAAAAGTACTCGCGTCTGGCTTTGATATGGATGAGAAGGTATTGTCGTTGTTGTTTAAGTTTGCGGGTTCCTTTTTCTGTTAATTTTTGTCAAAGGTTGTGGTCAAGTGTTAATTTTTGTCCCGAACTTTTTCTGGCTCACTTTCTCATTCAGCATTGCCATGAAGTGCAATTTGCCTCTCTTTGGAATGGATACTGAACCTTCCCCAACAGAAAGATGAAAAGGAAAAGAATCCAAGTTATAAAATTCCTTGTTTTAAATTGGCAACTTCTGATTTTAAATATTGTTACTAATTGTGGTTTAGTTTTTGTTTGTTTCTCTTCATATTTTCCACCTTATCTATTTTTATCCCCTATCTCATTTAATTTTAACTTTTCCAATTTTGATGGTTTTGTTCTCTATATTGTTTTTGGCTTTTTTTCAATCTTTATTATGTTTTCAGTTGCTTTTTTGTAGTGTCTTTGCGTTCCCTCCTCCCTCAATTTTTTTTATCAATTGGTGATGTTTAATGTATGTGACCCCTGCAGGTTAAGATAGAAGAGTTAGTGCTTGAAATGGGGGGAGCTTTACACACTAAAGCATCATTGGATTTGAACTTTGTCATTGTTAAAAATGTTTTAGCTGCAAAGTACAAGGTCTTGTACACCGTACATGAAGTTTTTTATTCCATATTTCCATTTTAGTCTTGATTATCAGTAATCACATACTTTTTTCTGAGCATTGTTACAAGCACATGGCTCTTAGTTTCCTTTTGTTTCCTTTTTATTCATATTCCTAATTAGCTTATGTTTTATATTCTATCTTGCATCTTATTTCTGCTCCTACAGTGCAGCAGAGTCACACACGCAAAGCACTTGGGGAATTGTATGCAGTCAATGTTGCATGGATACGGGTACTGTACCGGTACCGGGTACGGATACGGGTACGGGATACGGCATTTTTAAAAAAATTAAGATACGGGTACGTCAATTAAAAAAATATAAAAAATTATATATAAAATAAAAGCACACAAATTTTAACATATCATATATTATATAACATAAAAAAGGCATATATTTGTCCACAAAGATAATAAAACATCTTACAATACAAATTACAATACTTAAATTGTTCAACATGACATGACAATACTAAAACATAATTAAGAAAATCAAACTTTAACAGTGTCAATCTCATTATTTCCTTCCTCATCATCAGTAAAAATAACTGCCTCTGGATCTGGTTCATCAAGAGAAAGGGTTGATTTTGGGCCTAAATAAAACCTAACAAACTTTTCTGGTTTTTTGCAAAAAAATTCTCATTTCCCGTACCCCATTAACGTACCCGAGTACCCGTCGACGTACCCATTATTTTTTGTTTGCAAAAGTGTTTGGGTACGTACCGGGTACATACCCAGCCGTATCCTATGCGTACCCGTACCCAGTACGTACCCGGTACCGGTACGTTGCAAAAATTGGAGTACCCATGCTTCAGAGTATGCAGTTCTGCATGTTAAAGTCAATGGGAAAAGATATCCCATTGTTTGACAGTTATTGAAGGGAGTAACACAGCATTTGGTCCAAAAAAAGAAAGCTTTTGGACTTGGATATAGTTGGCATTAATTGGCTCTGTTACTGGTTAATAATTTTAGAATGTAGTATTAATTATTTTCGGGCTCATTGTCATGTCTGTATTTAGGACAGTACAGTTTGGTATGATATCTTAGCAATTACATTCAAAGTCAATGCTTTTCAGTCTGAATAAAAATATTCAAATGATGATGGGTTGCTTTTCACTAGTTGCCTTTTTGTTAAAGTGTTAGGTAACCACATCAATAGTTACAAACTTACAATATGTTATTTGCCCATTAGTAGTTAGTTATAACATGTTAGTTAGCTTGTCTTAGTTAATTTGGCATGCTGTCTATAAATAAGTAGAAGGGATTGAGGAGGGGGATCTTGTCAATTGTGAGAGAGTTAGGGCCTTTGGATTGGGAGGAGCAGTCCCTCGAAGAACTGCAGTGTTCTGTCCTAGTAATTGGTGTTTATTCCTAATTCTTCTTAATAAAATACCTAGTTTCTATCATTGGTATCAAAGCTCCGATCATGGAGCTATGGGTGCATCTTGAAGCTGAGAGGTGCTCAGGTCAACAAGAATGGAGCAACAAGTTCTTGAAGGGTTCAAGAAAGAATATGTGTTGATACTAGAATTTGAAGGAACCCATATTGATGGTTGATTAATGTGGAGCAGCACTTTGAAGGAACAACACAACAATAGGTGAATAAAAGATACAGAAGGCTGGGAAGGGTATGCGGAACATGCTTTTGTTTGGTTGTTTGTGTGGAAAGAAGACAATCCAAGTGCATCATAGTGGAACTTTGTGAAAGCTTTGCTCAAAGAATTCCAACTCGAATATGACCCAAATTTGCTAGTTTGGGTTGATCAAGGTTTGTTAGTGCAAGAAAACAGAAGAGAAGATGAAGTTTTAGAAAGAACAAAACCAACAACTCAAGGGAAAGAAACAAATACAAGAAAGTTTCAAGAATTGGGAGAATTAGAAATAGCAGCAACATACTCTTTAACACACTGTTATTATTGGCTAAACTTTATTGAAAACAACAAAAATCATGTAGATCTTGCTCTTTCTCACTCCTAATTTAATGATTTCCTTTCATAGTTTTGTATTTTTTAATAAATTTTAACCAATAATTGAGAGTGTGTTAAAAAGAGTATTAGAGATTGTTTTCCTAACACTCTTCTTGGGAGAAATCCAACAAAAGCAACCCAACAATATTCTAGACAAAGTGTGGAGTGTGGCAAAGATGACAGAGAGATGGGTGCTTCTTTGGGTTGCAAAGTGGAGGCAAAAATTAAGGGAGGTCCTATGTTTGGCATGAGGGGATATCCAAGGATTGAACAAACAACAACAGTGAAAGTTTTGGGTTTGAGTAGTATGATCAATCCCCCCGCAGAACCAAATCTTTAAGTGGAGGATCTTGATAATCATCTGCTGCTAGTCTATAACCATGTGCAGTAGTGCAATTCACAAGGGAGCTGTGAGATCTTAGTATAATTACAGAGCCTTTGATGCTCTGTTACAAGACAAGAAATAACACAAAAACCAGAACACTAAAGGTGCATAGGGGTATTCACTTATTTGTGTTTGACTAAGGAGTGGAAGCTGTTTTTGGGTTGCAGGGTGGAGTTTATTATGGAAGGAGCCAAACTAAAACTTTGTTTTGAAGCTACTATAGCTATTCACTTTGGGGACAATGGGAATATTTAGGGAGTATTGTGTGGTAATGCATATTGGTAGTTTCAATATGTTAGTTATCCACTAGGAGTTAGTTATAATATTTTAGTTAGTTAGCTTGTCTTAGTTAGGCATGCTGTCTATAAATAAGTAGAAGTGATTGAGGAGCAGGATGTTGTCAATTGTGAGAGAGTTAGGGCCTTTGGCTTAGGAGGAGCAATTTGATAGGAACCGAAACAATGTCATGGTGATCACTGTCAATAATAACAATGTCATTAACATAATCAATTAAATAAATCCATCTTATGGTTGAATGAATGTTGATAAAAAACTGAATTATCAACTTTATTCTGAGATATACGAAACTGTTGGACAACAATGCCAAATCTACCAAATTATGCCCTTGAAGATTATTTTAGGCCACACAAGAATTTTCGTAGACGACAAACTAATCCTATAGACTCTCCTGAGCAACAAATTCAGGAGGTTGTTTCATATAAATTTCTTTATTAAGATCACTGTGAAAAAAAACATTTTTTATGTCAAATTGATGTAGAGGCCAATGGCATATAATAATCATTGATAAAAGATAAACAAACAAAAGCCAGTTTAACCACTAGAAAGAAGGTGTCGCCATAATCTAAATCAAAGAGATATGAGTATAACCCTTGGCCATTAGACAAGTTTTAAGGTGATCAACTTGCCATCAGAGCCAACTTTGACAGTGTAGATCCATTTGAAACCAACAGCAAATTTTTCAAAGGAAGAGTAACAAGATCCCAAGTGTCACTGTTCCAAAGCGCACACATTTTGTCCATCATTGCTTGATGCCACCTAGAGTGTGAGAGGGCTTCATCTGTATTCCTAAAAATAGGAATTGAAACAAAAAAGAAAGATGCATACACTGGAAAGAAGACATAATGATATGTTAAAGTAACATAATGAGGAGATTAGTTACAAGTGGAATGTATACTTTTTCAAAGAGTAAGTGATAGGAACTGAATGTATTATTGTAATAATAGAACAAACTCAGGGAATAACCCTAAATGTACAAGCAAAATAGCTAAGTAATAACAGAAAAAGAGCTATTGATGAATGAAATAAAGCTCCTCACCCTCGAATAACCTCCAAGGTATTTCCTACCTTCTCCCCTCTGTCTATCTTCCATATATCCTTCTCCTTCGCGGCACTCATCCCTCTTCTCTTTCATTCTTGCCACGTACTCTGTTAATCTGTTAGAATCTTGCATAACGGCTTCCTTGCTCACCTTTCCTATTTTACCCCTCCTTCTCTAGTATGTCTTTAGTAGAGGCTCAATTGGTTTGGACCCAACAATACCTTCCACATTGAGAGGAACCTTGTTCTCAAGGTTGAAATGTGGAAATATGGCCTGAAGTAGATCAAATTCCTCCCAAGTACTATCTTAGGTAAATTTTTCCATTTAATCAGAACCTCCCAGCGACCATTCAATAATTTCCATGCAGCCAGTGCCTCTTCAGGCTCAACTTGGAGCTCCAATTATTCTATTAAAAATGGGGGCAATGCTTGACTGGGTTGACTAGAAGGGGGGGCCCTCTTAAGTTGGGACACATGGAAAGTAAGGTGCAATCTGGATGATTCTGGCAGCAATGATTTATAAGCTACAGGTCCTACTTTTTCTTCTATGCAAAAAGGGCCATAAAATCTGAGGCTCAATTTTTCATTTACCTTTTTTGCCAATAACTTTAACTTATAGGGTTGGGCTTTCAGGTACTCCATGTTCCTAATCTGGAATTCTACTTCTCGTCGCCTTTTATCCGCTTGTCCCTTCATTCTCATATATGCTTTAATTAAATGTTGTTTAAGCTTCTCTATGATACTATCTTGAAACAGTCACATTTGTCCACCTCAGCCACAACAATGTTGTCCCGACAATAAGGAATAACCATGGGGGGTCACGGCCATAAAGTGCCTTGAAATGGGTCATCTTGATAGAAGCATTAAATGAAGAGTTAAACTAAAACTCCCTCCATGGTAGCCAGTTCACCCATTGACAAGGGTGGTCACTAACAAAACACCTCAAATATGCTTCAATAGTGCGGGTTAGTCACTTCAGTTTGACCATCTGTTTGAAGATAGTATGCAGAATTGAATTTTGACTTCATGCTCGAGAGGCGAAATAGTCCCTTTCAAAATGAACTGATGAAAATTCTGTCTCAATCTGGAACTATGGAAGTATGGAACCCATGCAAACAGACGATTTTCTTTACAAACACTGTTGCTACCTCCTTAACTGAGTATGGATGAAGTAAAGGAATGAAATGGGCATATTTGCTTAATCTGTCCACCACCACCATGATACTGTCAGCTCCCTTAGCTTTTGGAAGTCTGCCAACAAAGTCCAATGTGATATCTTCCCACACATGCACTGGGATGGGTACGGGCTGAATTAGCCCTGCTGGTTTCAAAGTTTGGTGCTTATTCTGTTGACAAACCTGACAATTAGCCACAAATTTTTCCACATCTTGCTTCATTCCAGTCCAATATAAACCATGACCAACCTTTTGAAAGTCCTTGTAACTCCAAAATGGCTACCCCAAGGTGATGCATGGAATTCCATCAACAATAATGGAAGTCGGACAAACTCTTTAGGTAGGACCAGCCTCTGTTTATACCACAAACAACCCAAAGAGACTGAATAATGTGGATGGGAACTAGGGTGTGCCACCACTTGTTGCATGATTCCCTTTAATAGCTCATCTCCCAGTACCTCTTCAGCCAGTTCTATTAAATCAGCGTTAGTGACCATTGATATAGCATTATAGTTCATTATTCTGGACAACACGTTAGCTGCCTTGTTCTCCATCCCCGGTTTGTACTGGATTTCAAAATCAAATCCCATTAGCTTGATTACCCACTTCAGCTACTCCCCCACCAATACACGTTGCTCTAATAGGAATTTCAAACTCTTTTGATCTGTCCAAATAATAAAATGGTGGCCCAACAAATATTGGCGCCATTTCTAAACAGCAAACACAATTGCCATTAATTCACGTTCGTAAACTGATTTCACCTTGTTTCGGTTCAATAGAGATTGACTAATAAAGGCCAAGGGTTGGCCTTGTTGCATTAAAACTGCCCCTATTCCAAATCCTGAGGTGTCAGTCTCAACCACGAATGGTAAATCAAAGTTGGCCATTGCTAATGTTGGTAGAACCTCCATCTCTTGCTTCAGCTGCTCAAATGTTGTTTGTGCCTCCCCTAACCATTTGAAATTAATTTTCTTCAGTACGTGAGGGGTTTAGCAATAACTCCATAATTCCGTACAAGTGGCTTTAGTATCCCGTCAAACCCAAGAAACCCCTCAAACTTTGAATGTCTTTAGGTGCTGGCCATTGTCTCGTTGCAGAAATCTTTGCAGGGTCAGCAAATATTCCAGCAGTGGAAATGACATGCTCAAGATACACTAATTGTGATTCTCCAAAAGTGCACTTCTTACCATTGATCCATAGCTCCTAGCTTCTCAGTAGCTAAAGAACTATACCCAAATGGTCAATGTGTGATTACACACTAAAATATTGTCAAAAAATACTAATATAAATTTACATAAATAAGGTTTAAAAATCTGATTCATCAAGGCTTGAAAGGTTGAGGGAGCATTGGTTAACCCAAATGGCATTACCACATACTCGTAGTGCTCTTTGTGTGTCCTGAAGGTAATTTTAGGGATGTCCTCTGGCCTCATACATATTTGGTGGTAGTCTGATTTCAGGTCAAGTTAAGAAAAGATTGTGGCCCCTCCTAACTCATCTAACAATTCTTCGACGACTTGAATGGGGAATTTGTTTGGAATGGTGATACTATAAAGAGCGCGATAATCCACATAGAAATGCTAGCTCCCATCTGTTTACTTAACTAGAATCAACGGGCTAGAATAGGGACCGGTACTTGGTCTGATCATTCCTGCTGCCAGCATATCCCTTATGAATTTTGCAATCTCTTCCTTGTGGTGATGAGGGTGTTGATAAAGGCGAATGTTAGGAATTGTTGCTCCCTCTTTCAAAACAATGGCATGGTTACATTCTTGTTTTGGTGGAAGGGCTGTTCCCTCCTTAAACACTTCGCTGAACTCCCCTAATAGAGTCTTCATGGTCGTTGGAGCTGTTGCTGACACTTGAGTGGGTAATTCTGTGCAGCCCATAGTAATCATGCCCAACACCACATAATATGCCTTAGCTTCCCCTTTTAGCTCCTTCTTTATGGCTTTTAATGAAGCCACTGCCCGGGATTAACCTACGTCCCCTTATATCTCAATAATCCTTCCATCTTTGTGCACTTCAATCAAGTGTTGTCAAAGGTCAGCATTGAATTTACTTTAGCTTTTGAGCCATTTGTATTCCAATGCTGAATGATGATGATAAAGGATGAGTGCCTTCTAAAGGAGGTGGTTGCCAACAGTGATACATCTTTAAAGGGTGCGGAGGGGATCATTTGGAGGTGATACCTTTGGTGGGTGAAAAACAGTTGGAACTGAGGAAAGAGGCATAATAGACCCTGAAGTAGAAGATGTAGATGAAGAAACAAAAAATGAAATAGACTCAAAGAAAGTGACATTAAGAAAGATAACACTTAAGAGTTGGAAAATAACATTTATATTATAACCCTTCTGAGAGCGAACAACCGAGAAAGACACATTTGTAAGCACGAGCAGAAAACTTGTCATTCCCTAGACTAAGTATGGACAAAACAGGTAGACCCAAACACATGCTTAAATAACAAAAGGATGGATGGAGAGACTTGTGAGGAAACAAGATGGAGTGTGGTACCTCATTGAGAATAAAAGAGGACAACTGATTGATAATGTAACATGCTTAAAGAACAATATCACCCCCAAAACAACGAGGGACATTACTATGTAGAAATAGAGTGTGAGTAGTTTCAATAAGATGCCAGTGTTCTATCCTTGAAATTGGGATTCATTACTAATTCTTCTTAATAAGATACCCAATTTCTATCATATAGCTTCATATTATGCTTTTTCTTTCAAAATTTAATCATGAATTTCAACATTTTCTTTGTTGTTACTATGATTTTTTTTATTTGTGTTTCCACACCATATCAAGGCCATAAGAGTTTACTAATTTAATGAATGGTATTACTGCTCAAACCAATAGCAATATATGTGCCCTGCAGAAGAGAGGAAGTTATACTGAACATTTGTTAGGTGGCTTAGCTATTGTAGATGGAAGTGATAAGCAAAGGAATTTAATTCCAGATATATCATGGAATCTAACAAATATACTGAAAACAATACCATTGGGCTTTGTGGGTGTGTGGTTGTGTTTAAAAACCTAAAAGGACTCATTTTTGTGTACTAACCTGTATTTTTAATACGGGAATGGCAGCAATTCTTTGGAGGGGCATTATTGGAGGGTTTCAAAGTTTGTACATATTAAAGTTGATGCTTAGTTTGGTTTGCTTTCATAATTTCATTGATTATCTTTTCCTTAGTCAATGCTCAGTATTCAATGAAATTTGATCTATCTATTTGGAAGGTAATAGAATATAGTTTGGCTCTCATTTTTTTATACGCTTTGAATGGTTTAGCTCCCAAATTGTTTGTGGTTAATTTGCCTCTTAGTAGAGCTCATGTTCTGTTTCTTGGTCAGTTTGGCTGTCTTTCACTGCATCTGGATGACCACTAATTATGTGAATACTTAAAACTCATCCGCCTAATCTAAATATTCATTTTGTTAGTTCTGCTTATTTGATAATTCAGCAAACCAGTTTCTCATTTATTTAGTATCTGTGGAGGTTTTAATTTTAATTGAACTTATGCTCATGCGATACAATCTAATATACCAATTACATCTGACAGTGGGCTTTGAATGTATTGAAGAAACCAATAGTCACTTATGAATGGTTAAAACAATGCTCAGATGAGCATCGTGTTGTTCCTCAAGAGTCATACAAGGTCCTTCCTTTCTCTGGGTTAAAGATTTGTGTTACTGGAATCCCAGCAGGTTGTAACTTAGGTATCTGTTAGTATTGGTCATAATGGAATGCTTCTTTCTTGGGTGCTAATGGGCTTGAGTTTTTTTTTTTCAGATAAGCGTAAAGAGATGGAGAAGCATATTTTACAAAATGGTGGAAAATACTCTGCAGAACTGACAAAGAAGTGCACACATTTGATTTCTGAGATATCCTTCTTATAGTTTTTATAAATGATGGTGTTTCTTTTGGACATGCAAATGTTCATCTATTATTTGAGAACACATCTTTGCTTTTTAGTAAAATTCTTTTGTCAAAGCTTCAATGTGTTGGCTTAAATGTGTTTCCTAAGTTTGCTATAAGGTCATTTTTATAGTTGGATCATTAGCTTCTTGGCACAGAACCTCAAGTCTTCATTAATATTTTCTTTGTTTCACAGTAATTACCCTATTTGCCTTTTGTTACTGTAATGCTACATGCCTGCACATATTATGCCTATTGATAATCAGTTTACAGAAAGATTGAGCTAGTGCTTATTGAAGATCATGTATTGTTCCTATCATTTGTTCCAATCCATTGATCATATTTGACCACACTTCCCCTTTTATTAACAATTTCTGTAGACATTTTGATTTTAGAAAGATTAGAACTGAGATTCATTTAGACAAGAATTCATATTAATCTGCACTGGTGAATTGTTACTTGATAGTATTTTGCTATTTCTCTTTTGTGATTCGTAATCTGTTTGAATTAATACGTTTATTTATTTGTTATTTTCTAACAATCTGCAATGAATCTTCAGATTGCTTTTATCTACACTGGCTGGCTAGTTGATTTTATCAGTGATTCTTTTTAAGAAACACATTCCAGTATATGATATTATGATCTTTTTATGTGAGGTGTTATTCTGTATTTTGCTTGTCTCAATGTCTCCTATTCATTACCTTAGGGGCATAGATGCCCTACTTTATTTGCAATTTGTGTACAAGTTTGAAAGATTGTTCTTTTGTGGGATCCTCTATGACCAAATGATTCACTATTTGAGTTCAAAGATCCGTTATTATAGTTTAAGCATGGTGGATATTTGTGTTCTTGACTGTTCTTACGCTCCTGAAGGTGACAAATATAAGGTGGCAAAACGTTGGGGCCACATTCATATTGTGACAAAGAAATGGTTTGATCAATCTATTGCTCGAAGAGGTAACTTCCACATTTTAATGCTGTATATTGAAAAACCATTCAGGTTTGGAATTAAATAGTAGGACATCACTTATTGACTATTATGTTTGTGAATATGTATTACATACTGTTAGTATTATTGTTCTGTTACTTTAACAGGTTAGAGATATGATTAGATTAGAGATATGGTTAATTAGCCAGTTAGGTTAGTATAAGGGTTAACATATTGTAATCCTTATGCATAGGTCTCATTAATTAATATAAAACACATTCAGATTGAAGTTGGTATCCAGAGCCTTTAGGTTCGAATTAGTTGAAGTTGTTCATTTCATTAAAGAAGATTACCTCCATCATTATTAAAATTTCATTTGTTTGTTCCAAGGATCAACTTGCTGACATTTTCACTAAATCTTTACAAGGTCCAATTTAAGGGGGGAGTGTTAAGATGTATTGCATAATGTTAGTATCATTATTCTGTTACTTTAACAGGTGAGAAATATGGTTAGTTAATCTGTTAGATTGTTAGCATGAGGACTAACATTGTTAACCATTAATTCTTGTGTATATAAACATTGTATAGCTCTCATGTTATTATGATTTTAAGAGTCTTATCACATTTCTCCAGAGTTTTTAGGTTTGTCTTGTACTAGTTGTATAACAAGTGTACTTGAGCCAGATTTCATGTGATGTCAAAACAATACTCTGTTAATTAGCAATCTATAATTGGTTTTTCAATGATAATTAATGCCATTGGTTTTGTCTTTAAAGAAATAATTTTTATGTCATTTTAAAGATAGTTTTGATGTTGTGCATATCATTGGAGGACCAAAGTGATGTCACCAATATCTTTGGAGGACTAAATGATATATACTCTATATAGGAGACTAGGAGTTTAAAGTGTATCAGTACACAATTATTTGGAGCCATATTACGTAAATATATACTCTTCTTTCTCCTTTCCATCTCATCTTCAAACTTTCAATGTCACCCAGTACTTGACCTTCAGTTTTTATTTATTTCTATTTCTTTTTAATGGATAGCATGTTTGAGTGAGGAGTTCTTCCCTGTTCAGAATGGATGTGTATCTTCACATAAAGTAACCAGGGACTCAACAATGCAGCAAAGCCAAGAAAACGATATTGGAAAATTGCAATCTGCACCATCCTCAGGTGCTACAGTTTCAAATATGCCAGTTTTTCCCTGTGCTGAGTTTATGGATAGAGATCTAGAAGCTACAGTGTCAGATGACGTGTCCTCTGTTCGAAATGCTCCTTTATTTGTTAAAGAGGCAGATGCTGAAGTGTCTCCATTGCAGACCACCAATGAATTGAACTTTGATGGTGCTCTTGCCAATGATTCTGAATCTGATGATAATGACCTTTACTTATCAGAGTGCAGAATATTACTAGTTGGCTTTGAAGCTTGTGAGATGCGGAAATTAGTTAGTATGGTGCGTAGAGGTGGAGGTTCCCGGTATATGTTTTTCAATGACAAGTTGACACACATCGTAATTGGGAATCCTACTGAAATGTAAGTCAAGAAGAAGAATCTTTATGGATGCATATCATGTTTATGTTTCTCAATAGTTTCCTCAATTTGTTTTTGACCACTGCCAGTATCAATCTTAAATGTTTTGGCAAACATTTTTTCTTTTGGATTTATCTTGGCATGCCTGTGTTTTTCTAGGGAAAAGAAGGATGTAAGGAGTCTTGCTGCTTTAGGTGTAATTTATGTTGTTAAAACTTCTTGGCTTGAAGATTGCGACCGTGAAAAGAAAGAAGTCCCTGTTCTTAGGAGACATGTTGCACTTGATCTATTTCATCCCAAAGGTCTGCTGTTATGATTTTCAAATTTGTGGTCTGTGTCAATAATTTCTTAGTCATGTTCAAGTTGGAGAATGCTTTTAAGTTAATCTATTTTATTTTTCATAAATAATAATGAATGTTATTTTTGAATTCATGCTTTTTTTGTTCTCTGATTTCTTCAATTCAGCAAGCTTGGTAAAAGGAGCAGTGACCAGCAGTATGTCCATGGATCATGGTAAAAGCTCCAGCTTTCATCAAAGCTCGCAGATTGATCGGGTGGACTTTGGAGTTGTAATGCTGGAATGTTTGGAGAAACAAAATGAAGACAAAACTGATATGGGGTTCAGTAAAACAATGGGCAGAACTATGCTGCAAAATCAACATCCTGATAATAAATTGGGCACACAAAAGATGACACAACATGACTCCAGTCTTCAATATGCAAAGTCAACAAATGTTTTTATGGGGAAAATATTTTGTTTCTCAAACTTATTTCCTGAAGAAAGGGTAAGTCACTAGGATCTTAGTATATAGAGGGATATAAAGAATTGTGATTAGAAATGTAGGGGATTGACGCACAGAAAGTTTGAAAGATTGAAGTTGGATAACTGATAAGAGGAATCTTGAATGTTCTGCTTTGAGGAATACATGTGGAAATATACACTTTAACTACTGAGTTGGTGAACTTTAGGATTGATATAGTCTTCATCTTGAAATTATTTTAAAAGAGAAAAATCTTTGACATACTTCTTGGACAAGTTTTTAGAGAGTGATATGCCACAAACATATTCTAGCAGAGCCTTGAAATTAATTAGTATTAGCAATGTAATATAAAAACCATTCATGTGTCTTCACCTCACAATCTAAGCTTTTGGTGGAGTTGGTTGATGACATGATATCAGAGTATCTATGACCAAAATAGTTTGGAGTTCAATATGTGCTATCCCCCTTACAATAAAAAGTTGAGGTACAAGGTAAGTGACCCTGTGTATTGGCTGTGCTTTAAGCCCAAAGGGTTCTTGTGTAAGGGGACATGTCAGAGATGTAATAAAAAACTATTTGTGTGCCGTCACTTCATAACTTAAGCTTTTGGGATAGGTGATTCATGGCAATTAGACAAACAAATCCAAGATTTCAATTAACCAAATAAACTCAGTTCTTGATATTCATCATTCTGATGGAGGTTTGTATTTCTGCAAACTTCAAGCATTGGTTTAAGTTACTTGATGTTATGTCAAGTAATTAGTTAGCATTTGTTAAGATGTTCCACATTGACTAGGAATAGAGTAAGAATACTCCTTATAAGGGCTTGTGTAGTCTTCTTCCTATGAGCTAGCTATTGATAGTAAGTTAAGACCAAGTTTCTTAACATGGTATCAGAGCCTATCCTCTATTGGGCCACCTGCAAATGTCCAGCCCTTGGCGTGATTGAGGTATGTTAAGATGTCTCACATTGGCTAAGAATAGAGTCAAAATACTCCTTGTAAGGGCCTTGTAAGGGCTTGTGTAGTCCTCCTATGAGCTATTGCTTTTAAGAGTGAGTTAGGATCAAGTTTTTTAACAGCATCATAGAGTGACATGAATCAATCACCCAAAAAACATAAGTTGTATGATGAAGGCACTTAAATGGTTTTATATCAAACATAGAGAGGTTTTTTCCTTTGAGCTTGTAAATGTGGATAATTAGAAGAAAGGGAGCAACAAGGATCAAACTCTAATTACATGATCAGGGGCTGTTGTGCATTGATCAACTTTGGAAATTATACCAAAAGCTTAAGTTGTTAGGTGAAAGAACATAGAGGTTTTTTCCTAATGTAGGTGATTTGTTAGAAGTTTTGTAGACAATTTTAAAATAATTACTAAGATGGTTGATACCATCATAACTATTTCAATCACAATCATTTGGTGGTTGGACTTCATTTTATCAAATGCATGCTAATTTCCTTTTCCAGTTTCTAAAATTAATAGTTGCTATATGTCAACATATATGTTCTGTTGCACAAAGAATGTCCACATATATGTTCATCAATGCTTAATTTTAGTTTTGATCTCTTTTTTCAGAGAGCTGAGATTGTTCAATGGATAAGTCAAGGGGGAGGAGAGATAATAAGTGGACAAACAAAACATAGCGTCCACTATACTATTGAGTGTCATGGTGTAACACCCATGCGAACAGGTGATTCCAAATGCTCATATATTTCCAGTCATTGGATACGATCTTGTTTGGAGGTAAGTCTTATCAGTCTCAAATGCATATTTCCTTTCTTAGGTTTATTTTCAATGTTTTTATCTTCTACTTTTTTCAGGTGCTCATTTGGTGATAGATCTTGTTTGTTTTTAATATTGAATAGCTGGGATAGGTTGATGGGGAAAGGCAAAACTTGTCTTGGCCCTAATGTTCCGGGCTATTATCTCAGAAGTGAAATTAATGGGAATAAAATGATGATTGAAGTGATGAAAGTCAGGATTCATTTATACATGGCTGCAAGACCTTAATACTTGGATCATATGTAATCCATGTATTCTATTCTGTATACTTATTTAAATGTAAAAGCTGAAATTCTGGTTGCACCTTTTTTTGTTTACTATCTAATATCATTTATTGCCACAGACCAAAGTAACATTTCTTAAATGTTTTCAATTCTATTTTACCCCCTATCTAGGGAAAGAATGGATGGAAATTTGAGAATGTGATGAAAAATGGGAGGTTTTGTTTCTTGGCATCTCTTCAATGAAAATATGATCCTCTGTCAAATTCCCTGTTTTTTGTTTTTCATCTCTTGAAAAATTTAAGGTGCATAAGTTGATTTTAACTTATGGGAGAAGTTTGATTCATTTTATTTTCTTAATTTATTTTACCTATACCTTTAGGCTTATTAACAATGGTTATAGCATTTTCACTTTAATCTTATTAGGGGGGTCTAGTGATTAAGAAAAGTACAGTGAAACTATAAGGGAATAAAGTATAATTTACCTTAATAATGATGATGATGATGCCATGATGATTCCATTTCTGCTGTAAACTGGGTTCTTTGAGAATTTATGTTGGTTTACATACTTAAACTGTAATTATGGTGTTTTTGTTCAGGCTGGATCCTTGCTGGATGTTGACAGTCACATTCTATATTCTCCACTTCCCTGCCATATTCCCTTGCCTGGATTTGAAAGCTTCCGGTTTTGTGTTTCACAGTATGAGGAGAAAGAAAGAATTCTACTGAGGAACTTGTGTTTTGTTCTGGGAGCTAAATTTGCAGAGAAAAAGTTTAGTAAGAAGGTTACCCATTTGTTGTGTAAATTCACTAATGGGCCCAAGTATGAGGCTGCTTGTAAATGGGGGATCCAAACAGTTACGTCTGAGTGGATATTTGAATGTGTCAAACAGGTAATATATTTATGGTGACTTGTGCAGGGCAGTGAGAGCTTCAATGCATGCTTGAGCATGTCTACATGCATTTTCACTGCTACATATTTTTTACTGGAAAATGACCTTTTCAATATGCAACTTCTTTTTCCAGAATGGAGTTGTTGCCATTGATCAATTTTTACCAAAAGAAGTCACTGCTCAAGACCAGGAGGCAGGAATTTGCACTGTTAGTCAATTTCCTACCCAGGCTGTTCAAATGATAAGTGATATGTCCTCCCAGTCCTCACAAAATTTGAGAAACACAGCAAATAAAAATGTAGGTAGTGGAGTTAATAATCATGGGCCTGATTTTAGGATACCAAATATTTATAGCAAAAAGGCAAGGCTTGTGGAAGAACCTTGCGTATCCAATAAGATGCCTTCTGCAGTAAGTTCAAGTATTCCTGCCTATGACAATTTTTCTGAAGACAATATGCTTAAAGATGCTGGGCAGGTTTGTCATGCTATTCCTGATGTTGCTGCCGCAATTGAGGACTTGTTAGAGCAAACAAACAAGGTAAAAGTGATGATTTTTTGTTGATGGTATGGGATATGTATATATTTTTTCTTAAAATTTGTTTTGCTCCACTATGTCAAAGTATTTCTGCTCAACTCTCTTTCTCTTCCTTCAAAGATGCATGATCACAGACTGACAGGGTGTGAGACAGATGTATCCTTTAAGTGTGATCAATTTCATGGAGGTTATGTTTTGTTTTATAATTTTCTAAAATTATTTTTGAGTAGTAGTGATCCTTGATGGTCGAATAGATTTATCCATCTGCTGATAGTTCAGTCCTTCCTGAAGATAATTCAAATCCTCGTACTGTCTTTGGATTGTCTAAACACTGGTTAAACAGGTTAGTTCTTTATAGGTCCCTGTTTACAATTATCATACTGTCATTCACCATATAATCTCTTCTTTTGTCAAAATTAGTGTTTTATGTCAATGGCCTTTAAAAGACATACCTGATCAGTTTATTTTTGAGATAGTTCAGCATTTATGAATTTTAAGTGTGCTGACTGCATAACTTTTTGTCAAAATCAGTGCTTGCATGTCATAACATATGTCAGCTTCTTGCTGAGCTTGACCTTAATGCATTTTGGAACCAGTTGAATTTGGTCCTGTTAAATTCATCTGATCTGATTCTTAGCTAGCCTGAAAAGAAATTTGTTATTTTATCTATCCATTTACTTATTTTTATGTATTTGTTTGTAAATTTTAATAAAGAACAGCTTGAAAATTTATTTCCCTTACAATTTTTTCTTGCGGTCTACGTCACTGTGCAATTTACTCCTTGATAAAAAACTTGAATTTAACTCACTCCCAAAAGCTAGCTCATAGGAGGAGGACTATCCTAACCCTTATAAGGAGAATTTTGGCTTTATTCCTAACCAATGTGGGACATCTTAACACACTCCTCTTACGCCCAGGATGGTGCATGAAATTTGCAGGATTGGACATCTGCATGGGTGGACCCAATAGGACTGGACATTTGTGGGCAGCCTAACGTTCAAACTAAATAGGTTTTGATACTATGTTAAAATACTTGGACTTAACTCACTCTTAAAAGCTAATTCATCGAAAGAGGACTACCCTAGCCCTTATAAGGAGTATTCTGACTTTATTGCTAATTAATGTAGGACATTTTAACACTCCTTAAGCCATTAATCATAATGTTGAGAAAAGTGAATAAGAAACATAGGAAGAATTTGTGTGTCTTGACTACACATTGGAACATATATTTATAATAGGAACTATTGATACAAAATAAGAAGTTACTCTAATGAAGTGACAGTTTATCTTAATATGTTTAGTCCTTTCATGGAAAATTGGATTTGATGCAATATGTAAAGCTGCCTGATTATCACAAATAAGTGTCATCTCTTTAACTTCTCCAAATCTCAATTCTTTGAGTAGTTGTTTAAGTCATATAAGTTCATAAGTGGGTAAAGTCATGGCTCGATACTCTGTTTCTGCACTAGACTTTACAACTACACTTTGCTTCTTGTTTTTTCAGGAAACTAGATGTAGTTGTAGACCTCCTATCACTAGGTGATCTTGCCTAATCTGCATCTGAATACCCCATAAACTGAGTATTTCTTTTGTCTTAATATAAGAGACTTTTTCCTGAAGCTCCTTTAATATATTTCAAAATGCAGATTACTACATCTGAACGTCCATAACAAGGAGAGTTAGGGATCTGACTCATTATAGTGATTGCAAAAAAGATGTCTAGGCGAGTAACTGTTAGATAGTTTAATTTTCCAACAAGTCTCCTATATCTTTCTAGATCTGAAAGTGGCTCCTCTTGACTTGACAGAAGTTTGGTATTAGGATTTATAGGAGTATCAACAGGTTTGTCCCCCATCAATCCTGTTTCCTCTATGATATCCATTACATACTTCCTTTGGAAAATCACAACACTATTCTTGGATTATACCACCTCAATTTCTAAAAAGTATTAGAGTCTACCAAGATCTTTTGTTTGAAAGTGTTGATAAAAGTGTTGCTTTATCTTTTAATGCCATGATGATCACTTCCTGTAATGATAATATTATCTACATACACAATTAAGTAAATACAACTTGAGGTTGAATGACAATAAAAAAAAAAGGTGATTTGCTTCACTTTGAATCATGCCAGACTGTTGAACCACCATGTTGAATCTGCCAAACCTTGCTCTTAGAGATTGTTTGAGACCATAAAGGGATTTCCGTAGATGACAAATAAATCTTGAAGACTCCCCATGAGCAACAAATCCAAGAAGTTACTCCATACAAACTTTTTCAAGATCACCATGAAGGAAAACATTCTTGATATCAAGCAAAAATGCCAGTGACATATAGCAGCTATAGATATGAGTAGTCGAACAAATGTCATTTTGGCTATTAAGGAGAAAGTGTCACTGTAGTGCAAACCAAATATCTATGTATAACCCTTGGTCACCAAACGAGCCTTAAGGCAATCAATCTTATCATTAGGACCAACCTTGACTATATATATTCACCTGTAACCAACAAGAAACTTCCCAGGAGGAAGAGGAACAAGGTCCCAAGTACTATATTTTGAAGAGCACACATCTCATCAATCATCGCTTGTTTCCAACTAGGATGTGAGAGAGCATCACTTATGAACTGAGAATAAAAACTGAGGACAAGGAAGACAAACAAGTATAATGGAAAGAGGACAACCAAGGATAACTCAAAGAAACAGAATGAAGAGATGAATTACGAGTAGAGTGTATACTTTTACAAAGAGTAATGGAAAGTTCAGTCTTAGGAAGCAAGCCCAAAGGAGAGATGGTGAGTGGGACCGGAAGCGTGTTGAGAGTTTATCAACCCCGTGACTAAGGTCATGAACAAAGCAAGTGGACCCAAAGACACAAGGGGGTAAAGGGTGAAGGGATTGGTGAGGGTACAAAATAGAGTGAGGGACTTGGTTTTCAAGAATTGAGGATGACATTCTATTAATAAGGTAACACGCAGTAAGAACATCACTCCAAAAATGATGAGGAACCTGACTATGACACAATAGAGTACAAGTAGTTTCAGTAAGATATCTATTTTTTTGTTCAACAACTCCATTTTGTTGTAGAGTATGGGCACAAGAGATCTAATGAAGGATACCGTTAAAAGCCATAAAATTTTGAAATTGATTAGATAAGTATTCACGAGTATTATCATTTTGTAAAGTACGAATTGGAACACCAAATTGAGTTTTCATTTCGAAAAAGAAAGTTTTAAAAACATGAAATAATTCAGAACGATATTTCATTAAAAATAACTAAGTATATTTCGAATAATCATCAATAAAAGTAACAAAATATTTTGAACCTAAAGTAGATACAATGCAACTTGGACTCCACACATCAGTGTGAACTAAAGAAAAGAGAGAAGTAGAACAAAGATGAACACGACTAGTAAAAGAACGACAAGTATGTTTTCCTAATTGACACGACTCACAGGACCAAGTAGATAACTTGGTACTAAGTGTTATAACTTGGTTAAACTATGATGTCTTAACTGGGCATAAATAAAAAGAGGTGAACCAATTACCGAACCAGCATGAGCAGAAGCTTTTCAATAGAGACCATGAGACTCACATCTGGTGCCAATCATGCAGGTCAGTATAATCTTTTGTGGAAGAGATAATACAATCCAGGGAATGAGTGAGACGACTAATGGGAAGTAAGTTAAGAGGGGATCCAGGAACATAAAGAACATTATCAATAGAAAGAGAGGGAAAAGGGTGGACAGTACCAATACCCTGAGATTGTGTTTGGCACCCATTAGCCATTGTAACAGAGGGTAAATAATCAAATGTAAAAATAGTGAGAAAAAGAAATTTATTACCAATGATGTGGTCAGTGGCTCCAAAATCAAGGACCCATGGTTCGAGGGAGAAAGAAAGAGAGACACTAGCAAAAGAATTACTTGTGTGCACAACAAAAGTAGTGGGACCAGAGGCCTGATGCTTCTCAAACCATCGAAGAAAGTCACTGTATGTGGGTGAAGGAGCATGTGATGGCGGTTGCTGAATTTTGATGTAAGAAGGGGTAAAGGAGGTCATGGTGCAGCGTGAAAAGTACCAAACAGGGCAAGGAATACAAAAATTCAGGGACCCTTAACTTGGATCGAATAATAAAGGATAGATCAGAGAGGACAGCAACCTGCGGCGACTCCGACAAAACAACCAGCAGCCGGAGACAATGCTAGAGAATGAGAGAGAGCCTGTAAAAAAGCATGCTCGAAACAGCAGTGTGAACACTAGTTGCCAGAAAAGTCACCAACGGTATGGATAGTGTGGTCGGAAAAGTCACCGGCAGTATGAACAGTGGTTGTCGGAAAAAAATCAGAAACCGGAGACACGGTTTTTGAAAAAAAAAATTACCTGTGAGCAGTAGGCTCATAGGGAAAGGATGGATTAGGGTTTCTTCCTTGTTAGACTTTTGATATCATGTTAAGAAATTTAAGCCTAATTCACTCCTAAAAGCTAGCTCATGGGAAGAAGACTATCTTAGCCCTTATAAGGAGCATATTAGCTCTATTCTTAACCAATGTAGAATATCTTAACACATAATTATATTAAAATTGACAATAGAATTTAGGGTGTGTTTGGATAATTTGAATAAGCATTTATGCAATAAGTTCTTGTCTCATGAAGGCATATGGCATAAATTTGAACATGAAACTTATTGGAGAAAACTAGAAAAAAAGAGCTTATTTTGAGAAGTTAAACCAAGAAGCTTACTGAAATAAATAAAAAAAAAGCATATGGGACAAATAAATTATTTTCATATGCTCCCCATAGGATTTTTGAAATGAGCCCTTTATAGATGATGGGGATAAATTTCACTAATAGGAAAGTAGATGGTGTATTTCTATATTTTTATCACCAATTTGAATAGTATGGTGACCTATGTCTATGGGGACGAATTCCATTAACCAAAAGACTTGGGCTTGATTGAACCATCACCAATTACATGTTACATTGTAGTTGTGTAAGGCTCTGTCCCTTGATTTACATGGGTGGTGCCTGCAAAGAATTGGCTCATCGTCTGTTCTTACATTGTCCTGTGGCTTAGAATTTTTTATTCTGCCTTTTGAGATAAGTTGGATTTGCCCTAGGTCTACGACCCTTTTTTTATTGTTGATTTTGATGGATTTGATTGAAGTAGAAAGATTGAACGTGAACATAAGTGGTACTGTGCAATACTTTTTGCTGTATTTTGTTGGATCATAACTCTTAAAACAATTGTTTCCTTCCAAACAATTACTGATTTTGGATAAACTGCTAAAGAAGTCCTTATAGGAGAAGAAAATCAATATGAAAAATGAATAAGGCCCTGTTTTTGTGAAGTCCATATAAGAGAAGAAAAACGATATAAAAATGATAAAACTCCTCCCATAAATTAAAATTAAATTATACTACTCTATTTTTTAGAAGCACTCTCATTTAACTTTTCTAAAACTTGAAGAAACAAGTTATTTTTAACTTATGGGAGAAGTTTTATTCATTTTTTATATTGTTTTTCTTCTCTTACAAGGACTTATCCATAAGTTTACCTAAATAAAGCTTAAAACTTCTTTCATAAGTAACTTATACACCTCAAATTTTAGAGAAGTTAAATGAGAGAGCTTATGAAAAAATCAAGTAAAAGTTTATTTTGACTTATGGGAGGAGTTTCATTCATTTTATTACTTAATTTCTTACTCCTATAAGTACTTATTTGAGAAGTTAATCCAAACTTGGTCAAGATCTGACTTCTGTCTTTTATTTGGTGTATAAAGTGATCTTTTACCTTAGAGGATCTCTCCATCTTAATGTAATTACGACAAAAAAATGCGATGCCTGAGGTCCTATCTTTAACCAGCCTACCTTCCCCCTTTCCTACCCAATTGCTTTGTTATGGACAAGCAGCAGCAGCAATCTTCTGTCCTCATCACTTGCAAGAGGTGCAACAAATAGAATTGGAAATTTATTATGTATTAATTAGTTATTTTCAGTTATAGTTGTATCAGTTATAGGTTTGAATTAGTATTACAGTGTATGCTATTAGTAAGAAGACAGTTCTTAAGCAGTTATTTTTCTTTCTGATGTAAGTTTCAATATTTAAAGGATTGAGAAAATGAAGAAGACAGTCCGTTTTCTTCACAAGAATTAAGTGCATCAGATCAAAGGGTTCTCTGTAACGAGCCCTTAAAACATTTTTCCCAATAGGTAAACAAGCAAGGAAACCCAGAAAATCAATTTTAACAACAAACTCCGACACCAATCCTTCTACGAATAGACCCATTACTAGATCCTTAAGCGGAGCCTATAACATGCTTGCTCCTTAAAATTACTCAAATAAATAGAAGGGAGGGATGTGAAATTCTCCCTAATTTTCCTTTTTTTCCAGCTAACCATACCAGAAGCATCACACATATCATTTTTCACCTTTGTCTTAATCAATACTGAGCTATTATTTTTTCAGAAGTGGCAGAAAAGATGATAATGGGGAGACTTCTCAAGACTTAAGAGCAGGAATATATGGTGGTTTTAGTGAAACACAGACAGAATCTCAGGTTTTATTGGCATCTCCTTTTACCTTTTATGTTTTCCAAGTAATTTGTCCTGTTTTCACTGGAACAAGAATTAATTACCTTTCGCACAGGCTGTTGACTAGTGACTATATATAAATTATAAGCATACTGGGTGAATGTCGTTCACTTTTTTCATAATGCAGGTTGTTAGTTATGAAGAAGATTTATCTGGGAGGCAAATGCTTATAGATAGAGTCCGAACTCGAAGTAGCATGCACTGAACTAAGACAACACCATTGAAGGAAGATTTCAGTGGACAATTATCCTCATTTGATGGTATATCTAAGCTTACAATCTAGTGCACAAGAATCTGTCTTTTCCTGAATTAAAAAAAAAAAAAAGCCTCAACCTTGGTCCACCAATCAAGGAAACATCAGCAGCAGGTTAGTATAGAATGCCAATATCAATTATATTCGCATACCTACATGTTTCAACATGTTGAGTTTGGTTTTGGGAAATATCACCCTAATTCCTTAGAATTAGGTTGGAAAAATGTAAAGAAAATGACTGGTGTTCTAATCAATTTTCTTGTACCTAAAAAATCAAAATAAGAGATCAGCCAAGTAAAAAGGAATAAGTAGTTACTGAATCATGGCCACCTTGTACAAGTTTACCAGCTTGTCAAGTAAAGTAAGAGTCTATTGTTATGTTAATGGGAAGGGGCAGAAAAAAGGGGATAACCATGTAGAAAGTTGTATAAACGAGTGCTTTTTGTTGGCATGTGTGCTTTGATTGGATAAGCAGGATGCTTTTAAAAATTCTCAAATTCACCACATTTCTGGTGAAACATTTAATAGCTTCTCATCTGGTGTCAGTTTTTCTGTAGTATTGATTGTGGCAGCTTTCATTTCTACTTTTGTTGACATTGTGGTTGCCAAGAAACACTTAATGTTAAGAATGTAAAACTTCAATGTAGTAGCTCACATTGGGAAATTTTACTTAGAGTGGTGATGGCAAAGATCAAACTCCATGCACTGTTAAGTTTTATTCATCTGGAATGCTTCAGTGTTTGGGTGAACCCAAAAATAGTGTCTCAGAGGATGTTAAGATTTGTTAAAAATAGTGTTTGGTATACGGCGTTCTCACTTGTCAGGTCCAATAAATATTTCAGTGAATGAAGGCAAATATCACATTCTACAGAAAAATGCAACTGATAAATTGAACCCACCCTGTCTCGCATCATGTTAAAGATGGCAGCACTGTCTATAGTGTATATATTTAGTATATGTTGGGTCCAAGCCAATTGGGCCTCTACTAAAAACATACCAGAGAAGAAGGGATAAAAAGGGGGATTATGAACAAGGAGGCTGTTAGGGAAGATTCTAACGGAATAACAAACTGAATGACGTGGAGGAGGGAGGAAGCGGCTGAGGGAGGGATATAGGGTAGTTGATCAGAGTGAAGAGGTAGGAAATATCTGGGAATTGATTGGGAGGGGGCTGTTGCCTTAGGAGAAGTTCCATTTAATCATTATAACCTTTTTGCTATTTCTTTTTTCTGCTGTACTACCAGGGTATTTCCTGAGGTTTTGGTGTTAATTCCATAAATACATTCAGTTCCTATCAGTATACTATTATTGCTAATAAGTATCTTCGACATATTATCATTATAGTTGGCATTACAAGAGTTATCACTATCATTTTGTAAGAGGGTTCATTAAATGGTGTCCAATTTCACTGCTGTTCGTGTACATACTCAACTGTTTTTTTTTAATCACTGATTCATACAGAGAAAACATGTACGTGTATTTAGATTTATATCATGATCATGACAGATATTCCACGAAATGCATATCGAAATGCAATAATTAACGTTAGGGAGTATCAAACAGGTTGTTATTATTTTTGAAAAATAGCATGTCCTATAGATTCTTTAGCTTTCGATTGTTACTTTTCTTTTGAGGTGATGCATGGACCATTTTGTGGGTGATTCTTACGTGTCCAACTTGCTAGAACTATACATTCAGGAAAGAAATTCATGCTGTACAGATATTGGAGAACTAGGGCGGTTGGTGCATGAGAAATGCAATTTGTGGTTGTTATCCCCCTTCTCTCGGCCTACATATATATGTGTTCGTGCACACGTGTGTTGCTCTTGGATAGAGAATATTTTAGAGTTTGCGAGTGAAAGGTTTTAGTGGAATGAACACTTGGAAAAGTAATATTAACACATCGGCCGATGACAGATTATAATTACAACGAACAATTTTACCGGAGAAAAATCATGGGCTAATAATTCTCATCCTATTGCTATTATTTCAATGATTTTAGGCTACTTGGTAAATGAGGTAATAATTTAAATATGCAATTTCAAACACTTCCTCTCAAGTTAGAACACAGTCAAAAGCATCCAACTTGTTGCAAATATAAGATATTCTTCGTCAATGAATGGAAATGAATGACAGCTTTTTTTTTTTTTTTTATAAATGAAATGAAAGATTTTGAGTACTGTGTATGGCAAACTGATTGTCAAAATAGAGAAGCATAGATGAAGATGAGTGTGTTAATGCCTAAGGTAATTGAGCTATTGAACTATACAAACATTAGCTGTTAAAGCTTTGTATTTAGCGTCAAAGAACGATCTAATGGAGGTAGTTTGCTTCTTTGATTTCTAGGAGATGAGAGTTTGGCTAAGTACACGCAATACCCAAAATTGACTTTTTGGTATCATAACATGCCGAATCACTGTTACTAAAGGCTTTCAATTGAAGGTTGGATTGAGAAGGATGAAGGAGTCCTCACTCAAGAGAAGGCTTAATGCATTTAAGAATTCAAATAGCACCTTGATGATTTATGTCCACTAGCGAAATTATCAATAGCTTGTTTGGTAGTATGAAAAAGGAATTTCATTTTCTTCATAAAATAAAACATTTTGGCATATAAAAACTTAAATGTATTTTTATATACATGATATGTTCATTAAACCTAAGATGGATTATCATGGTGATAGAATGAAATATTGAATTGACATTAATCGAGATGGATCATGATGTAATGATATGTTCATAAAACCTACATAAATACATAAAAAACCAACTCTTATTTATGCTAATTTTGATCCTAACTAAAGGGGGAAAAAATCGTGATATGATATAAAAAATGATGACCAATCTTTAAAAATAATGAGAAAATAGGATAATTAATTTTAGAAGATGATCTAAGATGTAATAAGATGTTTTTAGAATTTCTAACTATAGCAATTCTAGGTTTTTATTGACTAACTTTAATCCTAAGAAAGTATCTCAGTTAGCCTAGGTCCACTATATTTTGCATCTATCAATAGCAACGCAAAATTAAAGTATTAATTTGATCCATTATAATATGAATAATTAGTATTTTAAGTCTAGGATCGTGTGTAAGACTAGGAACAAGAAAATCGATTCAATTAGCAACAAATTAAAACTTTATTTAACTGGCAATATCAACATCTTTACAACTTACTCTTACATTTTGAAGGAACCTCGTAGTGTGACAAAACCATAATACAACAGCGTGTAAGTCTTGTGGAGTAAGATAGAATTGTCAATTCGGGCTATCTAACTCGGCCTAAATTTGGTAACAGGCTAATGCAAGTAAAGCCTAAAAGCTTGAAATAATTTGAGCCTTTAACATACATAATGGCCTAAGTTTGGCCCTTTGCGTAGTAGGCTTATGCAAGAAGCTCACTTTATGTTTTTTTTTCAAAAAACTTTTAATATGTATTAGAGAAAAAATGCATTAACAAATTTTTAAGCAAATTAGAACTTAAAATATTGAATCTCTTTCTAATAAATTTTAAACAAAAATATCATCAAAACACTTCATTTAACAAAATTAAAATAAGAAATTCAATTAATCTCAAATATTTAAAGCAAATATTTTATCTACTGTTTCAATTATTTAAACCTCTTTAAGAAACTTAAATATCTTTAATTTCAATAGTCCTACTTTCACCACTATCATAATTTAGAATCAAATATTATGTTAATAAATTCTAGTATAGGATAAATAATAATTTTAATTTCATAAATGATAATTTTAATTTAAAATAAATATTGCATAAAAAATTATATCCACTTAAAATAATGCAGACTGTCGATTGTTTGTGTGCCAGTGACCCTTGAACTTGCATGGATAAAAGGGTTTGTATTTATTTGGTCATTCATATTGTTTTTTGGGTTTAATGATCAAAGCCCCTTTTTTTTTTTTCTGGATAATTTTGTGTCAACCCACTAGTTAGGCCCCATTTTTCTTGCTATAGGGAGAAAGAGAGTGAGATAAGGACACTGAAATCCATTATAAATAGTAATGGTGAAATTAAGCTGGTTAAATGAGTCAATAAAACTGAGAAACGGATGCTAAAATTGTATGTTTCTTTAAAAAAAAACATAAATTAGAAAATAGTTTTTTGAATGCATAAGTAACTCCTTAATCACACAATTTATTTAAATCAATAAATATGAGATATGGAAATAAAAAATATACAAGTATTCATATTAGTTTATCTTCCTTAAGACACTATACTTTTTTGTGCTATAATATAAAAAAAAAATTGATTGAATTAAAATTATTTTGTAAAATTAATCAAGATATATTAAATGAATATGTAATATTAAAATTAAATTAAATGAGCTTATAGAAAATATTAAAATTAAATGAAGAAAGAGGTTTAATATAATGTATCTATGTATAATTTATTTAAAAGAATAAAAATAAGAATAAAAAAAACATTGACAAATATAAATTATAAGTTAAATGACATTTTAACGGATCTTTCAAAAGTTAGCTTTTAAAAATTTTCTTTTATTTTTGGTTAACAAGCAAATTTAATAATATATTTAAAAAAATTAAATTATAAACTTTTAAATAAGCTATGAATTTATGTTATTAAACATAATCTTTATAATTATCAAACAATAACATGTTCAACACATACTTTTATTACTACGGTAGCGCTTATTAAAAAGTTTGGCACGTTACAGTATGTTAATTAACAATACACCTTTCAATATACTTTAAATTATTGAATAAATTTTATTAAAATTTTAGAAAGTATAAAAAAAAATATTAGTTTAAAAGTAAAAAAAGAAGAAGTAAAATTCATATAATTTTAGTGTTTACTATTATACTCATATATTTGAAAGGGTATTATGTATCTTTTTTACATCAGTAACTCTACTATTTATTAACATAAAATTAAATATGATAATTATTTCACATGGGAGATATAAAATGTTATCTTAATTTATAATGATAGATAAAAATTATTTATAAATTTTAATAAATAATAAAAAATGTGTTAAAAAAGTGTATCAAAGAATTATATTTCTAATGTTACTTGATATATAACGCATTTTATTTTTGTTTAACACGTTAAGCTGTATAACTGAATTAATTAATTAATTATTCTTTAGAGTTCATTAATTAAATGAAAATTTAATTATTAAGATAGTCAAAATAACAGGGAGAGTGGAGAGATGGAAGACAGATAAAAGGGGAAAGAAAATGGAAAACGGATAAAGAGAAAGAAAAATAGATTTTGGCAGTGATAAGCATCACATCAAGAATAAGCATAACGGAAAATGTCTACAAGCAACCAAGACCACCAAAATTATTTATTTTTATCCTTCACAATCACATGCATCGACCACAATATTTTCATTTTCATTTTATTTTTGGGAGATCGTTGGTCCCAACTCCGATGGTATCGACATGGCATTCTCGGCGGACATGACCGCAGCTCTGTCACCTTCGTATCAGTGTTTCTTCAAGCCTCCTCAGTCATTTTTGGGCTTGGGCTTGGGCTTCGAATTTCAGAAGAAAGGCAGAAGGCTCCGTAGACACCTCAACTTGGTCATCAACGCCCAACTTTCCAACTCGTTTTCCTTCAGCTTCGGACTCGACTCTTCGGTCCGTATCTGTTACTTCTGCTAACTTCGTCTTTCTTCACTTCCTCACGTGTTAGGAAAGAAATATCATTTCACTGTAACCAAATGGGTATCAATTGGGTGGACGGAAAATATTGTTAAGAAAAACAGAATAGAGTGAGAGAGAGTAAAATTTATGATGAATGATGCGATGGAAAGAAAGGGACGATGGAAATATGATACATTAAAATGCCCAGCTTAAATTTTATTAAGATAAATTATTTTTTCTTGTGAAAGTGTATAATAGTTGTCAAGACACACACACACATATATGACATACAATAAAAATTAAGAAATAACTTTTTTTATTAAAAATTATAGTATTTAATGTCATGAATGTGATTTCTAATAAAAGCTTACCACATAGATGTTCTTGTTATATATATCCTTGGATACATGTTATAAAATTTGTGTCTCCATGTTATCCACGCATGCGCGCGCGCAGTCACTTTTTCTTAAAAATAAACGGGTTGACGTTGGTAATTGGAGTATAAATAACAAGCTATATTTTTTATGTATTTTAAGAAAACATAGTTATAAGTTGTTAAAATATTCTTTCTAAGAAACAAGTGGGTATATAACTATGTATTAGCAATCCCAATTCCCAATGGGCTATAATCAGTTATCATGTAATTGCATTCCTGAGGCAAACTCTTTCACTGAGTGGTATGGTTTCTTAAGGAAGCATGTCATGTATTGCACATAAGGAAATCATTTGTCCTCTCTGAATTTTGCACAAGCCTAAAATGTTTCATCTTTGTGCATTTTGGTTGCTTTCGCCATTCTTTGATTTCCTTATTTTTTGAATTCACACTTGATCAATCCCAATCCATGCTACTGAGGAACTATTTACTTCATTTCTTAAGTTATTTTGTGTTGTGAACAAATGGGCATTGCTGAGTAAATCTAAAGCCCGGATTATCAAGTGAATTTCTTTTGTTAATTTATGTGTGCTTTAACACACAGTTGTCTGTGTTTTTGTTTTTTTTATTGTTTAATTTTTACTTTGGTTTATATACATACATTAATGAGTTACTCATTCATTTCATGGACTGACATTGATCTTTCAAATGTTTGTTTTATACTTTTCTTTAGAACTTGAATTCCTTCCAATCCAATGATCCATCACAGTTGCCTTGGATGGGTCCAGTTCCAGGTGATATTGCTGAAGTGGAGGCATACTGTAGAATCTTTAGGAATTCAGAAAAGCTTCATTCTGCATTGATGGACGCACTATGTAATCCGTTGACTGGTGAATGTAGTGTCTCATATGAGGTTCCGTCAGATGAGAAACCTCAACTAGAGGACAAAATAGTTTCTGTCCTTGGATGCATGATATCCCTTGTGAACAAAGGCAGGGAGGATGTTCTTTCTGGAAGATCCTCAATTATGAACTCCTTTCGTGCTGCAGAAGTTAGCACCACAGAAGATAAACTTCCCCCGCTTGCCATTTTTAGGAGTGAGATGAAAAGGTGTTCTGAAAGCTTGCATGTTGCTCTTGAGAACTATTTAATACCTGATGATGATCGAAGCTTAAATGTATGGAGGAAACTTCAAAGACTGAAGAATGTCTGCTATGATTCTGGATTTCCTCGTGGGGATGGTTATCCTTGTCATGCACTTTTTGCCAATTGGAGTCCTGTACATTTATCAACTTCTAAAGAGGACACACAATCCAAAGGCACAGAGGCAGCCTTTTGGACTGGTGGTCAGGTAACAGAAGAAGGTCTAAAGTGGTTACTAGATAAAGGATATACAACAATTATCGATCTAAGAGCGGAGACTGTAAAAGATAACTTCTATGAAATGGCTCTGCATGATGCTATTTCGTCTGGGAGAATTGATTTGGTAAAAATCCCTGTTGAAGTTATGACTGCACCTACAATGGAACAGGTTGTGAGATTTGCATCTTATGTTTCAGATTGCAGCAAAAGGCCTATCTATGTTCACAGCAAGGAAGGAGTTTTGAGAACATCTGCCATGGTCTCCCGATGGAGGCAATACATGACTCGTTCTACATCACCGATTGTTTCTAACCCACCTCTTATGCCCAATGACATGTTATCACATTATAAAAATGGATCTGGGAGACATTCTTCAGTGACTGCAGAGAGATCCTCCCTGGAAAAGGATATCGTTTCATTGCAAGAGAGTTTGGATGCAACACATAGTTCTGTTGGAACATTTGCGAGAAGTACCTCTCAAAAGAAGTATGGAAAAACAGAAGGTATTGCAGCCTTAACTGAAATTACTCCTGATAATAGGATATTATCAGAAGCCACTGCTGCTAATGAGGAAGGATCTTTTCCTAGTGTCTTCAGCAAAATTAACCCTTTAAAAGCTCAAGTTCCTCCTTGTGATATATTTTCCAAAAGAGAGATGTCCAAATTTTTGGGAAACAGGAAGATCTCACCACCCTCTTATGTCAATTATTGGAGAAGATGGTTGGAATGCTCTCCACAACTGAGGAACATGGATATCACGAGACTACCAGGGGGTTTTATTGTCAGCAGTAGTGATAATCTTGTACCCAAAGTTGTTGGTCCAGAAATTTCAAATGGGTCAGCCCATTTGGATCATCCATCTAGAGAGCCCCAGATTACAGTTGGTGGCAACTGGAAGTTGGTGAATGGGAGCACTTCTAGTTCGGTTAGGACAACAGTAAATGGATTAAGTGAGGGGGAAATGCATTACATGACTAATGCCAATGCCAACAACATTGTAAAGGATGGCTTTGACAATGTAACAACTAACTCCCAAAGGGTTGAAGATAATATAGTTAGGGCTGGTTTGGCCTTACAAGATGATGACTTGGGATCCATTGAGGGAGATATGTGTGCTTCTTCAACAGGAGTTGTGAGGGTGCAATCGAGAAAGAAAGCAGAGATGTTCCTAGTTCGAACAGATGGATTTTCTTGTACCAGAGAAAAAGTGACTGAATCTTCTTTGGCTTTCACTCATCCTAGCACCCAGCAGCAGATGCTAATGTGGAAGTCTATGCCAAAGAACGTGTTATTGTTGAAGAAGTTGGGGGAAGAACTAATGGAAGAAGCAAAACTGGTAATGATTTTCTTAGACTATAAGAAGCATAAATGTGGTTCAAAGAAATGGTCCTCTTTGGTATTTCAATGGTTAGGTACAATTTATTTGCAAAAAGATTTATCATTGAATATGACAGGCATTGACATTGTTTTCCATCTTCTGAACTTATAGTTGTATCTTTGATCAACCTTTTGTACTCATCCTCCATTAATCTGAAGAACCATAGGTGTTGGATAGTAGTTAGCTGAGCTTTTAGTGAGAGGCTTGGGCTTGGCTTGTCTGATATTTTAATGAACAAGCCTATCTTGAGAATTACTCCTTACCTTGACTATTTAATAGTTCAAATAATAAAAATGATTAAAATATTTTATAATTATATATGTTATATAATGTTATTATTTTGTATATAATTTTTTTTTCTATTTTCTATATTATTTATAATCATATAATTGTGCAACAGCCAACAGATATGTTTAGGAGTTTTGCACTGGTTCTCATTAAAAGCTTGTATTATGTAGGATTTCATTAACGTTTGGAGTTGTTGAAGGATGAGTTTGTTTATATTTGCTTCATTATGATTAAAATTATTTATGATTGATAACGATTTATTATTTATTTTTATCACTCAAGCTTCAGATATGTTGAATTTCTTAATGAAAGAACGATTAAAGGTGACCCAAAAGCTACAACTTTTTGTTTGCCCCTTTCTTGGTTTCAGTTTCTAAGGAATTTTCAGATACAAAACTTAGGGCGCTGAATAATATTGTTTAAGGAAAAGTGTTCTATTCACAACATTTAGATGTAAAATATAGAAAGTAGGTTGCAGAAATTTTCTGCACATGTTTTGGGGATGCTTGGATCTAGATTTTCAGAAATAAGAATGGACCAAAAAAGAGTTTAAATCTACTTCCTTGTGTGATAAAAACATGGAGGAATTTTGGAATCACAAATCTGTTAGGGAACATGAAATTGGAATAATTTTGAGCTTTGAATGGTATTCAATGGTATTTGATCAGTTTTTAATTCATATGATAATTATGAGTATTTATTATGAACTTTTGTAAATAATTTCACTACATCCAGCCTCAATACAGTGTATATATCTAATCTGCAGGTTGCTTCTTTTCTTTATCACCAAGAGAAAATGAATATTATTGTGGAACCTGATGTGCATGATATATTTGCGAGAATTCCAGGCTTTGGGTTTGTTCAGACCTTTTATAGCCAAGATACCAGGTACTGGAGCTTGTAAATTTGTGTGAATGCCCTTCAGAGCAGTTTTTGTGGGTTCCTTATAAAGTGTGTTATGAAGTGTGCTTTCATTCAATGTTTGCCTAACATATCAAATGCCTTTGATTTAGTGATCTACATGAGAAAGTAGATTTTGTGGCATGCTTGGGCGGGGATGGTGTTATACTGCATGCGTCAAATCTATTCAGAGGTGCTGTTCCCCCTATTGTGTCATTCAACCTTGGCTCCCTTGGTTTTCTGACATCTCATTATGTAAGCTTTCCAAATTTCATAATTTATTTTAAATAAAATAATTGGGTAACTTGCTTCATTTGTTTGATTTTCATTCTGTTCTGTTTGTAGTTTGAAGATTACAAGCAAGACTTACGGCAAGTCATTGGTGGAAATAATACACGAGATGGTGTGTATATTACTCTTAGAATGCGTCTCCGATGTGAAATTTTTCGTAATGGTAAAGCAATGCCAGGGAAAGTATTTGATATCCTCAATGAGGTGGTTGTTGATCGTGGTTCTAATCCATACCTTTCAAAGATTGAATGTTATGAGCATGACCGACTTATAACCAAGGTGAGTTTTATTTTGTCTATATTATTTGTGATGAGAAATCTATGCATATTTTATATTATATGATGAGGAAAGTTAATATTTGAAATTTTATATCTCAGAACGTGTTTAGGAAAACCGTGGCATACCTTCTGTATGATGAGTGTCATGTCTTTCAGGTACAAGGTGATGGAGTCATTGTTGCCACCCCTACAGGAAGTACTGCCTATTCTACAGCTGCTGGAGGTTCCATGGTAAGCTTGTGCTAGAGTGTTGCTCCTTATGGAATTACTTAAATGTATGAAACTGATAATGTTGCTGTTGACCTAAGCCTCCTTATCATGCTTTCTCTGCACAAGAGTGCTAGAGATTAAATATTGTGTTCAGGTGTCTTCTATCATTCCATGTTTTAAGGCATTGCACTGTAGGTGGGAAACATAAGATAACTGGATGAAATTCTTTATAATTTTCTGATAGGGGTAGATTCATTAAGGTCTATGAGAGGAGGCATAGAGCAACTGCAAGGGATCACAACCTTAAGGATCCTTTCAATTTAAAACTATCTAAGCAATCAACAGAGAGTTAGTTAGATAGTAGTAGTAGAAGTTAGTTAGTCTCTAGAAGAATAAATAGAGGAGAGGGACTGTGAAAGGGTATCAGGTTGTAATTTTTGGAATTTGTGGAGTGGGCTGGAAGCAACATATTGTAACTATTCAAGCTCTGTTCCACATTGGGTCAAATTTGGGAATTTGAGTTTGCTGCTGTAAATCATTTTTTCTTCCAATTTTGGTACCAGTTCTATCACGTTCCAAGGAGCTAGTGATAGTAATGATATTAAGTTGTAATCCTCGTTTTCCTATTTTGCAAATGTTAGTAGAAAATGCTGAATGACTTGCAACTCACAATATCTAAACGTAGTTGTTATTTTCTTTTGAGTAAAATGTCCAATTTGTGCTCTAAAGATTAAAGTGTCACCAAGTAGTCCTTGAAAGATAGTTGTCACCATGTAAATCCCCCAATGATGGCAATTATCTTGCAAGAACCTACTTGGTGACACTTTAATCTTTAGATGATGAAATTGATGTTTTCCTCATTTTCTTTTCTTATGTTCCTGTTCTCCTCTTGTGAAATAATACTTAAGTTCTACCCTCATTCTTTACTTTCTCCAAAATAGGCCCCATGTCATTGGTACTTACATTTACGTAATCCTCAAAGGATATTCATGTCTATGCTTCCAGTTCCAATTGAAGCTTAGCTTCTTTTATACAACAACATCAACCAAGTCTTATCTTATTAAGTGAGGTTTGACTACATGGATTACACAATGTTATTGTGATCGGTAAAAAACTAAATTCTTAGAAATATTATTAATTAATAGATTTCCTTTATTAATTTATTCTAAGGTTCTTTTGGGTCTTCCTGTCGTTTTATTGGACTAAAACTCATACCATTCTCTCTCCTCACTAATGCATTAAGTGATTTTTTTTTGCACGTGATCAAATTACCTTAGATAATTTTTAATAATATTTTTTATTATAGGTGTTACTCTAATATTTTGACGTATACAATCATTTCTTATCTTGTGACGACTCATTCACTTTAATATTTTCATTTCTACCATTCTCAACTTTTTCTCGTGTTGTTCCTTTGAAGCCCAACATTCATTACTATTTAGGATAGTTGGTATAAAAATTTCTTTTCAGTTTGATAGGTACTTTAAGATCATAAATAACTCCTGACCTTGCCTTTCTCTACTTTAACCACCCTATTTGTATTTTATGAATAACATATTTGTTAGTTTTTTTAGCATTTTGTAGAATCGATTTCAAGTACTTGAACTTAAGACTTGTGATATAATATCATCTCAAATTTTAACTTCTAACGCATGATCCTCATCTTGTTTTTTTGCTAAAATTATAATGCATATACTATGTCTTATGCTCAAACAAAAATCCTTAGATTCCAAAGTGTTTTTTCATAATTCAAGTTTAGCATTCATCTTTTCATATTGAACTTAAACTAGTGAATAAGTATTTACTCTCTTTGGATGTCATAAAGAAGCTCTTATTCAACTTGAAGATAGTGGACGCAAGACAGTATCCAAAGAATTGTTGTCAAAGTTTGAATTAGTATAGAAACCTCATAGAAGGTAGTTTTGTATAATTTTCCGTAATAAAACTTCCCAAATATATAATATATGTTCTTCCAAGTTCCAACGACATGGTATTGGTACAATATATAATTGATATTGCTTTATAGTGGAATTCATCATTGCTTTCATTGATGTTTTTATCTAATGACAAAGAAAACTGCAGGTCCATCCAAATGTTCCCTGCATACTCTTTACCCCAATCTGTCCACATTCCCTCTCATTTAGGCCAGTTATACTTCCAGATTCTGCTCAACTAGAATTAAAGGTGAAGTTAATTGTTCTCTCTGGGGTAAATAAGAGAATCATATCGGATGTTCTTGTTGCCAGAATTTAATGTTATTATTTCATGGCACACGATTGATGTGTCTCCTATGCCAGATGTTTTCCTTTTAAGGTTATGCTGTCTATCTGACATGATAGAAAAAGGCTACATGATGAATTATGATTGGGATTTAGATGTTCTTTTGTGATTAATAGCTAGGATTTGTTTAGTAAAGGATGTGAGTTACATAGGGTTTATTAATAACAGATTCCGGAAGATGCAAGGAGTAATGCCTGGGTTTCGTTTGATGGGAAGAGAAGGCAGCAACTCTCAAGAGGAGATTCTGTCAGAATATCTATGAGTCAGCATCCCCTTCCAACCGTTAACAAGTTTGACCAAACGGGTGATTGGTTCCGTAGCTTGATTCGCTGCCTAAATTGGAATGAGAGGCTTGATCAAAAGGCTCTATAATGCATGTGAAATTGAAGAACAGCCCTAATGTGAAGATGGGGCTTGTATAATTACTGTATAGATTGTACATTGAGATTACAAAACTTAGGTATAGTAGATACCACCAGGTTATTACATTGGCTGCCATTGTGAAGATAGGGTTTGCCAATGGTTTTTCAACATTTTATAATGGCAAGATGCTGTTGTACATACAGACACTTACAAAAAGCAGCTAATTTTTTTTGTATCTAAGCAGCAGCCTTTTGTTCCACCTAAAAGTTTATTACTGTTTGCTAGACTTCCTTTTTTCCTTAGGCAGATATGAATTCTCTGTGACCTAAAATCTACAAGTATATTTTCATGCAACAATGTGAGCAGCAGAAACTGCAATTCTTTCACTTCTTTGTCAAGTGACTGATACAAAATCTAGCTATGTAATTGCCATGTCCTTGTCAGGATTTTAAGATTTATTAGTGATTGTTTTTTTTGGTGACATACAAGATATGTTTGTCTACTTAAAATGCATGACAGTATATCTTGGACCAATCATAGACTTAATAGAGTGACTACAAGGCTTTACCAAAAGATAAGGAAACTATATGCACCAAAAAAAAAAAAAAAAACGCGAAAGGAAAGGACAGTGCTATAATTTAATTTCATCATGTTATAACAGATATTTTAGATGTAGGAAAAAGTTTATATTTGCTTAGTATAAGTTGTAATGTATTTTCCTGAAGTTTCTTGTAATAATGTTATGAAGAGATGGTATTTGACTTTTAGTGGTTTTTCTCAGAAAATACAACAATTAGTTGAGTATAAACTTGGGCAGGGATTTATAGCATACAAATTTAAAGTAGAAATTGCGTGAAGTTGCACAGTGCAAGCTCCGATGGGGTTCATATTAGCACCCACCAAACTATTTAAAACTCAAGAAAATATTGTGAAATCCTAAATGAAAAGCAGTAGCACAACCGAGTATGGTTTTCCATTCTCTAGAAATACTGTCATGTGTGAATAGAATGGCAATCGAGTGATATCCTTCGCTGCCAAGCTTGTCCTATATTACAACAAGAAAGGAAAACGATGGAAAAGCAAACGTATTAATTTTTTAATTGGAACGCAGTGCAGCTTTGGAAAGAACTTCTGCTCAGCATTGACTGACATGCAGTGACAAAAAAATAAGGTAAAGATTATAGCTATTCTGTTTTAAGTTTAATAAAATTCAACTGTTCTCTTCTCTCTCTTTTCTAATCTTACACAAATTTCTTTGAATTTATATAACAACATAATGCCGTCTACTTTTCTTAATTTCACAACTCGCTCTTGATTAATGTCAAAATAATGTAAAAAAATGCTCAAGATATCGGGTGAACCTTTTATTAAACTTCAAGAATGTAAACGTAATTTGTCCTAATCAAAAAAATATCAGAGCAACCAATTTAGTTAGAACATTAGTGTACCTTTTAGGTCAGCAGACTCTAAACTATCCACGAAGTTTGTGTTTTGAAAATAACTATCCACAAAGTTCATAAAACAAAAAATTGATTAAAAAAAATCATATTGGTCAAAGTAAATTGACGAATTTCACTGATTAAAAACAAAGTTGATGTAATTTTTAATTTTAATTTTTTATGTACATTTTATTTAGTTACAATTATTAAAAAACGTGATTTTTAAAATTAATTGTGATTACCATTTAAAAAAAACAGCTCATAATAATTTTTTATAAAAATTTAAAATTAATTTTTATCTGCTTTTTATCTTCTAATTTTAATTTTTATGTCAGTTTGGTCTTTTACTTTGATCCTCTAATTTTTAAATATTAATTAAATATGTTATTTTTCGTTAATTACCTTTTTCTTGATCAATCAAATAGAAAGAAAAAGTAAAACAAGATAACAATGACAACATTAATAAAGAGAAAAAATAAAAATGGCCTATTTGATTGACATTTAAAATTTTAAAAAATAAAATAAAATAACTTAAAGAATTAAATAAAAATAAAATATTAAAATAATAAATTGAATAAAAAGCAAAATAAAAATATCAAAGTACTAATCTTAGTTAAAATAAAAGATAAAATGCAGCAAGGAATTGCCCGACATACTTGGCAGCGGGAAGTAAAAAACAAAGGGTTCGTTGGCGGTTCCCAGGTTAGGTTAAAACGACGCCGTGTTGTGGCCTATTTAATTAAAACTGGAAAAACGACGTCACTTTTGGGCGGCTGACTCCGAACCCTGAAGTTCCTTTCAAGTTTGTGTTTGAACGTTGGGTACCCTAAGCCTCCCCCCCAAAGGCCAAAACAACGCTTGTCTCTGTGGCTTTGCGCAGCACACTGACACAAACATAGTGATGTAAGTTCATTCATTCTGATTCTGATTCTCATTCTCATTCTTCTATCTGAAACAAGTGAATGATAAATAATTGTGCAGGTCGCGGATATGCGTCAAGAATCTCCCCAAATACGTTGCTGAAGATCGACTTCGAGAATTCTTTTCTCAGAAAGGAGAAATCACCGACGTCAAGCTTATGCGTACTAAGTACTCTTTCTTTCCTCAATTCTCAGTATCCCTTTCCCCAATTCACATTCAATTTGTCACTCTTCTCTGTTGCTTTATTCAGAGACGGTAATAGTCGCCAATTTGCTTTTATTGGATTTCGTACTCAAAGTGAAGCTCAAGAAGCTATTCGATATTTCAATAGATCTTACCTTGATACATCTAGAATTACTTGTGAGGTTTGTTATATATACTGCTTTTTTTCTTTTTTTTAAAAAAAATTCTATTATCTATATTATTCAAAACTGAAAGCTATGTACTGTGGTTTATCATGTTCTCGTCAACTGAGCAGGAGGCACGAAAACTTGGTGATGCGAATCTTCCTCGTCCGTGGAGTCGACATTCGAAAAAGAAAGTCAATGAAGTGACCACTCCGGATGCGGACGAACGTGGTGGAGCCAAGGTTCGGGGACCAGATGGTTCTAAGGACAGTGTTGATATTGATGATCCACAGCTTCAAGATTTTCTTCAGGTTATGCAGCCTCGGGTTAAGTCTAAATTGTGGGCGAATGATACATCAGTTGTGACCAATGTTGGCAATGACCAAGTTATATTAGAAAAGGACAACAAAGGTACATTGGATGCAATCTGTCAGAGTGGCTCATTAGTAGATGGGGTTTTGAATAATTCTGAACCCAACAAACCATGTGGGCATGAACATGATGAAGTCATTTCTGATATGGATTATTTCAAGAGTAGAGTGACGAAAGAGTGGTCTGACTCTGAAAGTAGTGAAGACGATGATGGTGACAGCGACGACAATGTTGATGATGACACTGATGACAAGGACAATGATAGTCATGCTAGCGAGGATGAAGAAAATCGTGATGGTGCTCAAGAGGTAGACTTAGAGGGCCAAGAAGATACCTGTGGAGAGGATGTTGCCCACGAAAAAACTCAAGTGAATGCAACTGAGCAAGGGGGGCATTTATCAAAACCAGAAGATGAGAAAGGAGCTTTTGAGTCCTGTCGACTGTTTGTTCGTAATCTGCCATATACGACCACGTAATTACATAACATACATATAAATTCTCTTATGGATGATTGTGTGATATTATGTAGCGAGCTTTTCCAATTATATTGTCTTCTGAAGGAAGAACATCTTCAGCAAGTTGAATTATCTGCATTACTAATATCTAGCAGTGGTTCTTGTGGCTTTACTTGACCTTAAATACTAATTTTTATTTCTAGTTGGTTTTAATCATTGTATTACTATTTTGTTACAGTGAGGAGGAACTGGAAGAACATTTCAGTCAGTTTGGTAGTGTATCACAGGTTCATCTAGTTGTTGATAAAGATACAAAACGATCCAAAGGAATAGCATATATTCTTTTTACAGTTCCAGAATTTGCAGCCAGGTAACAGTTTGTTGACAAGTTGTTATCTCACTATTTGGGAGTGTGTGTATTATACTAACTGTTGTTTAGTTGCAAGTCTTATTCTTTTAGTTCATGGTTGATCATTTGATGAGGTATTCTGTTAAAGTGTTAAGTTAGGTCGTTTCTGATAGTTCTGAGAAGGTGAGTGGAGAGAAGATATAGGCCAGGTGCTGGATCAATTAAGCCATGGGCCAACGATATGGACTTTTTATTCTAGAAGGAAAGGGTGGGCACATGGGAACCAACCATGGGAGGAGTGTGTTATGCTAAATGGGAGGGGAATGTGTCTGAAGAGGTTTTTTTACGGAGATATTGTTCAGGTGGAGTGGAGGGGAACAGTCTAATATTTGAGGAATTTTTCAGCTTTATAGGCTTGGGTCTCAGCTCTGGGAACTGCAAAATATTTTCTTTTCTTTGTTTTTTCCATTTTTCCTTCAGCATTCCTCGTATTATATGCGTCTTATTTTCTGATGATTTAAAATTTTCCCTTTTATATATTCTAAATTCAACATGTTTTATCCTATATTCTGTTATTTCATTTTTAGAAGAATCTCTGGGTTGACAATGATCTTTTGATCATTTTAATTCTTAGACTTCCCTGTTGTCAATGCCATCTGGAATTGGTTCTTGGTTGTTTAGTTAATTTTAAGTTTGTATTCTCAATTTGGAAAAAATTCTTCTGTAGAGGATATGGTTGAACTGAGCAGGAAAGAATTTGCTGTGATGTGTGTCTGCTTTTTTCTTGTATTTGGCTTGACTGAAATGTTATTGTCTAAAAGTATTCTTCTCTGTCCTTAGACCTTAAATCTGTGTTTGGAGAGGAACATTTTATTGACCACCTATGAATGTTTGCCCTGTTGTCCATTCAAGGGTTTCTTTTCTATGTTTCTCTTTTGGACTTCTGATTCTTAATTTTTTCAGGTCTTATTATTTCTTTTGAACAATACTACTTATAAGTTATAACTAAAAATAATATATTTTATGCTTAAATTCTCAAAATCTGCATTTTACATTAAGACTATGATATGAAAATAATATATATTGCTTGGTTGATTTAGTTGTCGAGAAGCTCTGAAAGATTCTCAGAATCTCTTGGAATATGAAAACATGGTTTTCTGCAACTGCAGTAAATCAAATGTAGGTTGCAAACATGTAATTCCCTGCCATCTGAAATATTACTAACAACATTAATAAACTTCAGAAAGCTGCTACCTCTTCTAATACTAAGACTACTTCTAAACTTTAGCTGGTACTTGTCATCAGCTGACAGTGTATTAGTAAAGTTGTTTTGCTGAAATTTACATGAAATTATGATTGTTGCTTATAGGGCACTAGACGAATTAGACAATTCAATCTTTCAAGGAAGATTGTTGCATGTTATGCCGGCCTTACAAAGACCTTCAGACAATCACGAGTAAGTAACAAATAAATAGTGCATTATGAACAGTGTTATAATTTTGATGTTATTATTTTGCATTATCATGATAGTTTATGGTTTGCAATTTGCTTGTAGGAGCAATGTTTTGAAGGAACAAAGCTCTAAAACCCTTAAACAACAGAGAGAGGAAAAAAGGAAAGCAGCTGAAGCTAGTGGAGATACCAGAGCATGGAATAGTCTGTTCATGCGCCCGGATACAGTATGTATCTTGAAACATAATAAATTCCAACCATGATTCTATTATTTCAACTTTTGCGGAATAGCTGAGTAGGCAACAGTAAATTAAATTTATGAACGAGGCTTATCATTATCTTTATTTGTCAAAGAAAATAACTTTTTATGGTTAGTTTTAGTTTTTCACCATCATAGTGCTGTCCTTTGTGTCTGTGCTGTGCTGTGCTGCTCTAGATCAGAAACCAATTGTTTGTTTCTACACTGTTAGCAACTATTTTCTCATGAAATAAGTTGTCCGGAGGGTTATTTGTGAACTTAAGTTTTTCCTCTGTACTCTAGAACAGTTTGGCTGGGGAGGTTTTAAGGATTTGACAAAAAGGAGGAAAAAAAACATTGTGGCAGCTTGCAGTCTTCACAATTCACTGGTTCTCTTGTTTTAAGGATTGCCTCTCTACCTTAACTTTGGGATTGGTCGTTGTTATGGCCTCACAATGGTTATTATTTCAATGGATGCATAGATTGGTCATATTAAATGTCTTTTTAAATAACTTTTTGTCAACTGATTTACTTTCTTCAAATCCTCTGTTTTGTTGTTTATGTTTTTTTTTTTTTTTTATTTATTTATAATAATTTCCTTTCTATAAAAAGATCATTTGAGGTTATGTTAGTATCATTTCTTGTTATGGAGGTATGTGTGGCTGGAGATATTCCAATCCTGACATTTCTCATTTTCTGATGCATTCATATGTTTCATTGGCAATATGATCTTTATTCCCATATAAATTTCTTTTTTCTTCCTCTCTTTGATGGGTGCAAAGATCTTGTTTTCTTGTGATGGAAATAACACCACTTTGTCTTTGATTTTGCTGCCTAAAAATGTTTTTGGGTGATGCTTTCTTTTATAGGTTGTGGAAAACATTGCTCGGAAATATGGTGTTAGTAAAAGTGATTTTCTTGACCGAGAAGCTGATGATCTGGCAGTTCGTATTGCTCTGGGAGAAACTCAAGTGATTTCAGAGACAAAAAAGGCATTTAAAAATGCTGGGGTGAATGTAGAGTCTTTGGAGGAACTTGCTAATAATAAAGTTGATGGCTTAAAAAGAAGTAACCATGTGCTTCTAGTGAAGAACTTGCCATATGGTTCAACGGAAAATGAACTTGCAAAGATGTTTGGGAAATTTGGTAATTTGGATAAAATAATTCTCCCTCCAACAAAGACATTGGCATTGGTATATTTTTTTCTCCTTAATTTTTTTAATGTTTGTGATGTGCCTCTGCAACTTTTTTTGGACATTTGATAGCTTGTTATCCTATCTTGTTTACTAGTTTCTATTCTTATTTCTAATATATTTTTTTTTATTAATTCTAGTTTTAATAGTATTTGTTCATTCAGAGTATGTGGTTATGAAACAGTCTTGTATCCTAAAACATCCAAAAGAAAAAAAAAATGACAATGTAGTACACTCTTTACATTTTAAATACAATAGTTTTACTATTATATTTTATCTTGGGGGGGGGGGGGATGGTTTTATAATTATTCATTTTATGGACTGTTGGCATTTTGTTGCTTATTTTTCTTTTTTAATTGGTGAACTTTGTCTTGGGCATTGAGGTATTGAAAAAGCTATTGTACTTACTGGTACGTGTTCATCACTTAAAGATATTTTGCTTAATTATATGGAGATTATTTCAGGTTGTTTTCCTCGAACCAGCTGAAGCACGTGCAGCTTTTAGAGGTTTAGCTTACAAGCGTTACAGGTAAGACTTTAGTTCTCTGTTCATAAATCTCATTCAGTAGTGTTAAATAATATTTTATTATTTAACTTGTATCATTATCAATGGACAATCAACCCATTAAACTAACCCCCACGAATAAATTTATTGTTTCCTTTTCTCTTGAATATGCAGTGGATTTTTTATAAAACAAAACAAGAAAAACTTGATGTTCTTGCAATAAACATTAGGCAGGTCTGTAGTGTATAAGCTGCAGCATTGGTGCTCTGCTTTCTTAATCTTATTTGGCAAATGGAAAGCATTCAGTGAGAATGGTTTTTGTCAGAACTCTGTCTTAAACACAAATGAAGGAGTGTGGGAGAGAAAAAGGGTTGGAAGAATAACCAAAATTAAGCCTACAACTTTTTTGGTTTTTGCTTGTATTGTGGTAGTTACTGCACTAGAACTTGGAATTTGTTAGTTAGGAGGGACAAAAAAATAACTGAGATGCTACATACAACAATGATTTCATTTTTCCCTCTTGAATTGATGAACAATCATGGTTAGAACTACTCCTACCCCATTTCCAAAGAAAAAATCATCTATAAATAAATCTGCTGCCCATGCTTACAATGGGCATTCGAGTACCTCTTCTATCATGAATTCATTTTTCACCCCGGATGAATAATGTTGGTTAAAGTAGTCCCTCTCACTCCATTCATATATAAATTTCTTTCCATGCTAACAATAGTTATTTACTTGCTCCATGTTTGATTCAATATATAGGGATGCTCCATTATACTTGGAGTGGGCTCCTGCCAATATTCTTAGCCTAAGCCCAGCATCAAAAAGTAATGACATGAATGGTGCAATTGGTGAAAATGATGCCAAGCGGCAGATATTGGAGCAACATGTGGAAAGAATATCAGATGTGGATATTGATCCAGACAGAGTAGAGGTTTGACCAATTAAATCATTTTCTTCCATTATTCCATTGCTTTAAATTTGTGTGGTATTATCTGATCTGATGATGCATTTGTCTTTTGGGGTAACTAAAATTGATACATGATAGCATAAGAAAAAGAAAAATGAGGTCTACCCTGGGCATATATCAGATGATTGAAATTATCCTTTTGTTGGACAGTAATTAATGTTATTGAGCATTTTATATTTCAAAACGAATGTGCTCATTTTTTTTATAAAATGGTAGTTGATTAATGTGGGAATTTTGGCTATTAAGTCTTTTTCCTTGCCAATAGTGAAATTATTATGTCATCAATCTGGATTTTTTTGCATCATGATGTCACTAAGGAGAAATATTCTATACTTTTTACATTATTGATTAAGGTGATAGAAAAGATGATAGAAAATTGATTAAAGTAATTTGGACAACATAACTTTCGAGGAAATTATTAAAAGAGATCTAGCTAAAAATAATATATTAGAGAATTTGGTTTTTGATTAAGCTCAACAGCATTACGATACATGTAGTTGACTTCACCTAGTAGGATAAGACTTATTTATTGTTGTTTAACTGTTGCAAACTAATCCATAATGCTTGTTCTTTATTATTAGTTATTAACTAATCTATTATAATTTAGGCACGGTCCCTGTTTGTCAAGAACCTAAATTTCAAGACAACAGATGAATGTTTGCGGAATCATTTTAGTGAACACATGAAAGAGGGAAGAGTTTTGAGTGTCAAGGTATTGGTTTAATTGCTAAACTCTATAACTTCCCTGTGATTCATATTTTTGTTTTGTTGCTTTTTGGGTTTACATATATTTGTTCTGTTGATTTCACAAATAGGTGAAGAAGCATTTGAAAAATGGGAAAAATGTTTCTATGGGGTTTGGATTTGTTGAGTTTGACTCCCCGGAGACTGCTACAAATGTTTGCAGAGATCTACAGGTATTTAAACATGTTATTTGCATTTTAAGATCATAATTCTATTCCTGATTTTTCTTAATTTTTTTAAAATTATTTATTTATTGATTTATTTGTTGTGTTTAGGGGACAGTTTTGGACAGCCATGCTCTTATTTTACAACTTTGCCATGTTAAGAATGATGGGAAAACACAAAAGACGGTTGAGAAGGATAAGAGTTCAACAAAATTGCTTGTAAAAAATGTTGCTTTTGAGGCAACAGAGAAAGATCTGAGACAATTGTTTAGCCCGTTTGGCCAGGTGATTACTTAATTTGCGCTCCATGTTAGTAATAACTGAATTCTTAGAGACTAAACTAGATACAGCCACGAGACCAAAATATTCTCAGTCAGTCCATATACTCTATTACGCAATTATGATAGTAGTGACTCCAGAATAATGAACATGGACCTCCACATGATTTTACAATTACCTTGTATGCAAAATCCAAATGATCTCAGTTACATCTATCATTATAGAAATAAGATTTATGCCAAATTGACACTTGTTATTCCAAGTTAAAATAGTGGACTTGGTGACCCACTTGATTATATTTAAAATCAAGACAACGTTTATATTTGTTTTACTTGTATGAATTATGACTTTATGATCTAATGTAATTCATCTTAATTTTTTATCTTGTTTTAGCTAAACTCAAACTGATATCTAAGAGGGCAGCCTATTGACAAGACTCTCACTTGGAAGATAGATTTCATTCAAATCTGTTGCATTTTATGCAGTGGTTTCTTTTCACTCATGTTTAATGGCTCAAATCTGTGCAGATTAAAAGCTTAAGGTTGCCCATGAAGTTTGGAAGCCATAGAGGCTTTGCTTTTGTGGAGTATGTTACTCAGCAGGAGGCACAAAATGCTCTCAAAGCACTTTCAAGCACCCACCTCTACGGTAGGCATCTGGTAAGTGAAATCAAATTTTGGATTTGAGAAATTTTATTTTGTTAATTCCCTATAATATCTCTCTTCCTTGTTTTTATTGGGTATTGAGAAGATCTGTTAAAATTTTTGATATTTGGGAACTGTCCTAATTATTTTCAGGTGATAGAGAGAGCCAAAGAAGGTGAGAGTTTGGAAGAATTGCGTGCTCGAACAGCTGCTCAATTTAGTGAACATAATGGATTACAAAATGCTACTAAATTATCCAAGAAGAGGAAGCAAATTGACATCTTAGATGAAGGAAGGATGAAGTTTGAAAGAATTGCTGGTTAATACGCCTCCTAAAACCTAAACATTTTTTAGCATATATATCCTGAAAATCCAGGATCACAATTTTGTATGTTTTAAGTTATGCCATGGTGTCCCTTATGATCTCAAGTGTTGTAAATCAGCTTCTGTTAAATCCTTTATTAATTGCTTCTTCCTTTAAAATTTGTTTACATATTTTTCAATAAACTTCTACATTCTATATATTATTCCGTTTCCACATTTGTTTATCTTTAAAGTTGGGAACTAGAATTGAACATTGCTTTAATCAAATACTATACTATGATAAATGCAGGTCTAGTTTTAAATTTAGTGCTTTAGAACTTGTAGAGGCGTCCTTTATCTCTGTCACTGCATTGAGTAGAAGCAGTGTGTTGGACTTGAAGAGCTTAAAGGAAAGTTGGTTTGGCTAGCCCTAAGAACGTTTGGTTAGTCTTGGTCAATGAATCTTTCATTCTTAGTCTGGACTCTCAAATCTAACAGTCAAATCCAAATCCAAGCAGCTAACTAGCCATAGCCATAGATTTTCACCTGCTCCGAACCTAACAGCATTTCACTGAACAAATTTAGATTACACAAACTCCTCTCTCCTCAACTTTCCCTTCTCAATTATGTGACTGGCTGATCCAAAGTTTGGGTTTTAAAAGGATAATCCGAATTTGAGTTACCTTGGTGAGTCATGAAGATTTAAGAACTCTCAAATGTAAGTGCCTCCTTGAAATGAATGTTGCTCAACGGTGGCTTTTCCGAGCACTCAATTCTTCCGCTTGCAAGTTTTCCGGTGAGTCTCCGCCATCCAATTCTTTCAGATATAATGCATGAATTAAATGCTTAGTTTAATTTACGTTGGTGTTTTGTGTTTCCAATTTTCAGCTTTACGTATAGATGTGCTAGTTCTATCTTTGGGTTTGAACTAATTACTATTTATCTTGATCATTATTTGTTTCTCCTGCATAAATGTAACCAAATATGTAAGGTGGATAAAATAATTCCCATCGCTTCGTTATTTTTCAATTTTATGGAGTTAAATTCAGAATTATAATTTTAATTACATTGTCGACACTAAACAATATTTTAAAATCTAAAACCAAAACTTAGTGTCCAATCCATTTTCGTACATCGAACTGTATTTAAGTCTTAAACTGATTTTGGGTTAGGAATGCTGAACGTTCATTTGGACATCCTCTTTTGTTTAATTGCCAAAAACGCACCAATATTTTTAATTTTAAACACGAATAAAATATAAATTTCTGGTGGATAAACAAAGCCGAAACTCAAATTCTTGAGCACCAGTTTTTTTTTTCATTATCTCAAGGCTTCCCGCAAAAGATTAATGAGAGGTGAGAGAAAGACAAAAAAGATTTTTGTACATACATATTTGTCACATTAAGTTAATAAACCATAAATTTTTTAAACATAAACATTTGTGTAGTTTAATAGTCATATAATTATTTAAATGTTCATTAATTAATTTAACACACGTTGACAAGTTGTACTATCCATCCAATTACTGGCATATCAGTGGAGAAAAATATTTTTAATTTATAATTTTTTAATTATTTGTGTAATGAACTAAATTTTTATATTCGATTTTAAAAATACGTATTATCAAATAAAGGAAATATTGTGGATAGTGTGAGGCAGTATTATCAAATATATATTTCATGTAGAAAGAAAATCGTCAGGTACTAAAAAAGTGTACTAAATTCCGACAAATAAAAAGCATATAAATTGTAATATGACTTAAGTCATTTAGTAAATTTTGTATATATAGAGATGAGTTTGTCTTGGATACGAGAAATCGAAAATCACGAAAAGGAATCTAAAGAAATCAATTAAATGGTCAAAACAGTTTGGAGAGTTGAAGTTAGTATGTTAGTGGCAAAGACTGGTAGTTTGAGACTTTGAGTTGAGTTCAAAATCTTTGTTTTGTTAGATAAGGTGTCCCCTCCCATCTATGGAAAATGATCAGATTTTATAACACTTGTGCTATTCCTTTTTATTCTAGTCCCTTCTTTTCTTTTGGGTCCAGCTCGAGCTAGTATCTATGTGTGTGTGTGTGTGTTAAAAAGGATATTACTACAAGTTGTTCTCATTGCTTTTAATAATTTAGTTTTGTGAAGTCACTTTTGAAATTAAATTATCAGAAAGTGAGTCTAAAAATTTAATTTTAGAAGCAATTTATAAATTTATTTCAAAAGCATTTAATATATTTTAAAATTAAAATTTTCAAATTCATATCAGTTAGACCCTTTTTACAATGCCCCTACTTAGTTGTGATCCAGAAAACAAATTGATGGCCTTAATTTTTTTTTTTTGGCTTGGCATCTAGCTACAGTATGATTGTAACTGCTTATAGTGTCATCAATCTTGAAGTGGATTAGCTGGTTGGATTGGTATAGCCAAAAATTGAATCCCTTATCGATCTGGTGGAGCCATCAATTTGTTTCCGGTGTTAAACCAACGTTGGACTAGTAAATTGAAAGAACACCGATCGAACTCAACCCAAGAACTATTAAATCAAGATCAAAAGAGTGACTGAAAGAGAAAGTGAAAACAAAATATAGAACGCTCAAATCTAATCGGCTCACACACTTCACTTTACCGGTGTTGTTTGTCCGTTCGTCGGTGCAAAATCTTCTTTGAAGAGGTTTCAATTAGGAGTGGCAAACGGCACTATTAAAATAATATTAAATAAATATATTAATTATGTTATTTTTTTTAGAATTTATTCTATTTCGTAATTTCTTTTTTTATTTTATTATTATAAAATTATTTTTTTATTAACTTTGAATTCCATGATTTTCATACAATATACAAATTCTCTCAAAGGATTTAAAAAATACTAACCTAAATTCATTATGCTTTAGTGTAATCTTCTACTTATATTTTTGAGTTCTTAGTATTTTTTCTAATTCTCTTTTTCTCTTTTAACTGAAAATATTTCTTTTTGATTACTATAAGACTGTAAAAAATAGAGGAGAAACTGTTCTTTTATTCATTGAAAAAGGAGAGTATTTTTTATAATTGTGTTTACAATTATATTCTATTATTTTATATTTTATATTTAACAACCATTATATTATATAATTAATTAGAATTATTTTATAAGTTACACATGTCACTGTATAAATTATTAAAATAATCTTATAATTTTTTTAAAAATATAAGTATTAATATACTTTAGTCTCATGAATGACGAAAAAATAAAGTAAAAAATAAAAAAAAAAGAGAGAAAGTTTTAGTTCTAAATATGTATTATTGAGTAAGGGATTAGTGCCAAACTCTTTTCTCAATACATGAAAGAAACTCCAACATTTTTATGTCCAACTTTGTATTTGTCAATCAAATTTTTCCCGCTACCAATCTCATCAAACCACTTAGACCTTTGGCCACGATGAGAAAAAAGAACAAAGACGATCGATCTCCTTATCTTAGCTCTCTGTGTAAAGCAAAATCCTCCACAGGGCTATCATTGACCAAGATAGAAGCACTTGCTGTAAAAACACACTTTTTCATCTATCTCCTTCACCTTTTACAAAATTTCAACCTTTTCATCATCATATTGAAAGAATTACAATTTGGAGTTGACTGATTCATAAGCATTTTAGAAGTCTACCTTAAAAACTGAACACTTCTTTTTCCTTCTCATCCAACTATTCATTAACACCAAGGCCACCATCAAGAATCAGTCTATGTTCCATAAAGGTGAATTGAATTTTAGAAATTACCTTATTTATAACTTCATTCTACCCTCCAATGTGTTTGCTAAAATCTTTTAGATGAATTTGTTGAGATAAGCCTAACTTCTCCAATCTCCAATGCATTGTCTTTGTTTGGGACAAGACAAGTGAAGGATGAGTTGTAGTCTTCTGTAATTATTCTATTTTGTTGGAATCCCGGCCTAGATCACATTACAAATATCATCTTTTAGAAGATTCTAAATTTTCTTAAAAAAAATTGAAGTTGGATCCAATTGGGCCTCGACTATTGGTACATTCACAAATATATATCACTTATTTAATTTCTTCTTCATCATTATTTTTTTATTGGTAAATCATTATACTTAAGAGATAATTGCTCAAGGTTGACACAATCTAACCTCAGCTTGACCCTTTGATGTTTTGAATACAGATTGTGAGATACTAGTCAATCCTTTTTTTTTTGTTTTTGTTTTCACTTCCATCACATATTCAGTTCACTCCCTTTTAATTTTAGGCCACGGTTTTTATTTTCTCGTTCTCCTTTTGACAATTTCATTAATAGATTTAATAAGCTTAAGGTCTAGCTTATTAATTATTCACCAGATTAACTATCAAAGATCTCCTTTGAAATGTTGACCCACGTTATTCTATTAATGGGATATATAGATCATGTGAAGATCGAAGAATCATATTTATTAGTCTAAACTTAACTTATTCGTCTAATCTCATAATATAGAGATTTATTATGAATTTTCTCCTTATAATAGCATATAGTTGAGAGCTTGGATAATTATGTGTTAAGAGTGGATTTAAAATTTTATCTTCACAAAAATTGTAAGAAATATAGTTTATTATTTTATCTATCCAAAAATTATAAAATAATTAAACTATATTGAGAGTTTGTAAACATGTAGATGGAGTTTTGAATTTACGTTAAATATGTGTTTATTTTTTTCTTAATTTTTTTCTTTCTTGTTCATGCTTTTAGGAATAGAGAATGGAGATGACTTTTTTTTCCCCCTAATAGTTTCTACTTCAAATTTAGTCTTTTTTACTTTCATAATCTATTGTTATATAGTCCTTTGTTTTGCTATTATTTTGATGAACTTCTCTTCCCACATATGAAGTGTGACCCATAGGGCTTAATCAGACAAATATATGATTTTCCCATTTCATAAAGCTCTTTAAAGTATATGAAGTTTTTCAGCTATTCTTCTCCATATACTTCGATTATATTGTTTTTCCCTTCTACAGTCACCTTTTTCACTGATGTCTTTCTTTGCCTGCACAAATGTTCTTCCATCTCTAAATTTTTCTCAACTTACACCTCCTATCTGTTGGTATCATAGCTTTTTGCCTTTTTACCCTTTGTCTTGTCTCTTTCTATTGACATGATCATACTTCCCCTACTCTCCCCCATTTTAAAAACATACCCCACATATATTTTACTTCAAAGTCTTGAAAAATTTGTGAAATAAAAAGCAGTATATTCATACAAGATGGACTTGATATAGCCTTTAAGATGGCCATTTTGTCCATTTTCTTGGTAGATTTGTCACTTTCGGTTGCTCATGTATCTTCTCTCTCTCTCTCTCTCATCACTCTTTTCGTACTTAATTCTATGTGGATTTACTTATGTAGGTATAAGATATGAAGTAAATGTGAGTCATTTATTAATAAACAAAAGACTTAACTAAGCTCTATAACACTGTATGATAACAGATATACATAAAAGTTAGATAGTAATTAAGTAGAAATATAGAAAAATTCCTTCCATTATTACTATTGGTGGGACAACAGTTATTACTTCACGTCATAACTCAAAGATTGATCGATACCTCCCATTATGCTTAAATGGTTGTCACTACAACATACAAAAAATATGTGCGGTGGGGACAGGCATCTTCAACCGAATGAAATTCGTAAAAGCAGTGACATGCATGAATAATACCAAATAGGTGATCCTCCTCTTTATATATTATATACATCAAACCAGTTTTTGGTTTTCCAAAATTTTATTAACACTATTTTTTCAATGTTACCTATAAATATGCTCATGAAACTACAGGAAAAAAGAGATTTCATTTTAATTCTTAAAAAATGTTAAAATGATAGAATACTTATCCTTATGCAATAGAAAATAAATTATTAATATAGATGTTTTAAATTTTATACTAGTGGTATGATGCATTCTATTAATATTTGTTGTACTAATATTATATATTGTTTTTATATTAATAAATTGTTTGTTGTATGATATATCATACTGTTGATATATATTTCTAATGCCTATTTTAATATATATTTTAATTTTTGTTAGATAAAAGATATATTAATGAAAGCTAATTTACAACTAAATCGATAGTACATATCATATATTTCGTTTTTATAGTATGAAAACTGAACCCCTTGTCTACTTCCATTCACAGTGATTCCACTTTCCTTTACTGAGCCTCAATATCCTCACTTCTACCAAAAACTTTGTGCTATACATAAAATATATAAGAAATAACAATTCTGTCGAGACAATTTAGAATACTAGCCATAAGAAAAGAGTATACTCGATGTTGTCGATGTCATGCTTCTTAAATATTTAAGTTTTCACTAAAACATCTACAATTGTCTTTCTCAAAGCCAATTCGCTTCTTGTGTTTCCAAGAGTACGTAAGAAATTTAGAAGAACTAATATGAAATTTATTTGAACTTATAAAAATAATTTATAATCTTTTAAAGCTTATCCCAAATAAGCTGATATGATTTAAGCTTTATATAATGATTTATAAATAAAGGCTTAATAATCTTTTTATTAAATGTAGCATCAATTTACTCGCGCCATTATTAATCTAAATCCTTCTTTTTACTTACGTCTCACAATGTAAGGAATGATTTGTGCTTCTTTAACTTTGTGCAGCTGTACCCACTGATCTGACTCCTTCATGATGGCAATATAAGGGAATGCAAACTTCAAGAAACTACAGAGAGATATCAACGTTCGCATCCTAGAGTGCTTATGTGTCCTTCAAGAAAGACTAAAAACTAAACACCATTGCATGTGTGCTACCAAATTTATGTGAATTTGAAGGTAAATTAATATTTTCGGTCTAGCTAAATTGTTACCATTTACATCTTGAGATGGAGGAGTTGTGTGGATGCATGCATGCACTTTGTATTTAATTCAAAGAATTCTATAATTTAAGCTATACTGTAGTCATTATAGTTAAAAGCTCAAGCTTTTTATAGCTTTAGTATAAATAGTAGATCTCACATTTGTATAAAATGTGTGACGAAGTATAATAGTCATCTTTGTTAATAAAATCTTTTCTCCCTTCAACACAAAGCCTATATTATAGATGTGATTATCAAATAAATTCACTATGTTTGAATGAATGATGTACAGTTTTACATATTCTCCAGCTTTTATTTTTAGATTCTATATCTTCATGAAAAGCGTTTGCTTTTCATACACCCTAAAAGGTACATCATACATTAGATAATTTTCATAATGTACTATATTACACTATATATTGAGTTTGATATCTTATTTGATGCAAAACTTTTTCACACTAATAATATCAAAATTGAACATCAAGAAAATTATCTTTTAAATGTTGGAGAGGGAAGTTTAAGTGTATGTAGAAGATACATATATTATTAAAACATCTTGATTCCACTTCAGCTTACATAAATCCATTAAAGTAAAACAATATAATTTAAAACTCAAATCGTCATACCTTTATAAAGCTGATTTGTTTTGTATACAGGAAGAGCAACAAGCTAGAGGGCAAACATGCATTATATGAACACCTCATATTCAACAAGTCCACGACTTAAAGCACAAAGCAACAACAACATATAAAGGAAGCATGCATGACAACGACACAAACTACACATACGAAAAATCACAGTACTTTTGAACGCTTGGACGCTATGAATTTGAAGTAGTAGTTAACCATTAAGTGAAATCAACATGCATGCTCTAGAAACTATGGAGAAAACGTCACTAGCTATTCAGGTTGATCAAGAACCCTCTTGGTGTTGGGGTCATTTTGACTGAAAGTAGCAGGCATGAGTGGCGATTCCCACAGAACACCAAGTCCATCATCATATGCTTGTGTTGCAGATGAAGTGGTGATTGAAATCAAAGGATCCTGAATACGATCATCAGAATTAGGCAGTGGAATGCCATGCCCATTGGGTGGTTCTGATTGCATGTGGTGCTGCTGAGATGCAAAAGCATCCTCGTTGATCAAAGAGTTGAGGAAGGAAGAAAAGACATCGTCAGAACAATAATTCACATTGATATCATCCTCGCATTCCTCATTGTTAATGAAACCCATTGCAGAAACATCGTCGGTGCCAGTAGTTGCTGGATTAATATTGTCATCACCATATGCATTATCATTATTTACTATATTCCCAGCTCCTTGAAGTTGTTGATATTGACCCAAAAGATCAATTTCTTGGTTTACATTAATAATAAGATCCTGACGAGTAGAAGGGTTCTGATGATTCCCAATAATTATAGGAACAGATTTAGAAGATGGAACAGTAGAAATAGAAGAAGAAGGAACGGAAGGTGGGTTCAAAGGCTTATGGGTTCTGGGATCAATCCCTTGGCTAATAAGCTTCTTGCTTAGATGGGTGTTCCAATAATTCTTTATCTCATTATCCGTTCGCCCAGGAATTCTCCCAGCAATCAAAGACCACCTGTTACATTAAACACATATAAATAATTATAAAAAAAAATATAAAGCATAAATTGACATGATCAACAAGTAAACCCTAGCAAAAAAATGTCATATTTAATTAAATTAATTACAAACCCTAATAAGCCGTAATCATTTTTAAAAAAAATAAACTCTAAACCACAAAGACACACCTACATACCTATTTCCAAGAAGGCGATGAAGACGAAGGATGAGATCTTCCTCATCTGGAGCGATGTGGCCCCGTTTGACGGAAGGGCGAAGATAGTTCATCCAACGGAGGCGACAACTCTTACCACATCGGTGAAGTCCAGCTCTTTTGGGGAGTGTTCTCCAACGCCCTTCTCCTTCTTTCTTTATGTAATTCGCTAACACCTCATCTTCTTCTGGTGTCCATGGCCCTCTCTTCAACCCAACCTTGCTGCAACATGGAGTAACAGTGCCATTGTTATTGCTGTTACTACCACCACTGTCATTACTCTTCTTGTTCTTGTTTGTTTCTGTTGCTGTTGCTGTTGGGTTTCTCATCTTCGTCGTTAGTTCTCAATCCTTAAAATGATCGACCAAACTAAGAATGGTTATATATGCTGTGGGTGCACAGGGTCTAGCTTTATGACACTGCATATGTTTCTCTCTCTCTCTCTCTCTTTCTCTTTTGTTTCTTTACAATACAAACTTAAATGAATTCAACACGCGCGATGGGTCCGCAGTGAGATCCACGTCTGGTTATCTCACCGCCATGCCAACCCAACTTTTTTTGTCTTTTACTGTTTCGGTGTTTCCTTTAATAATTACGCTTCGCTTTGCTTTTCTTTTTTATTTTTTTGAGAAAAAATTGAATTAAAAAACAAATAACGCAATAATAAGTTGGCCATAATTTCATTTTTCTGCAATTATGATGTTTTATGATTTACTTAATTATTGAATTTCAATTTAAAAAAATGTGTTACTCGTGCACGTTCAGATATCACTCTACGTTATCAGAAGAGTTTTAATTTTTCGTGTTATTTTCACTTTTATCTTTAATATTTGACCAAAGTAAAAATGAAATATAAAAATATGTAAAAAAATTAATTAACAAATAGTCTTGTGTTTTTGCAAGGAAATTACTGTTAAGTTATCGTACATGGAATTAACTCCATGACTAATTCTATGACTGGAGATCATAGTCGAAGATATATATATGAACTAACCAATTGAAACATGAAGTTTCTTAACGAAGAATTCAATTTTAAAAATACAAAATGAATCATAGCATAATTCATTAATTAATAGAATTAATGGATCGTCAGTGTTCAAAATTCAAATATAATATACTCAGCAAGGCCTATTACTTTCCTCAGAATATTCTTAGCATGGAAAAGATCCTATCCCTTTTATTGACACAATTTGTAATAAAATATTATAACAACATTTAATCAAGAGTAAATATACTCTTTTTTCTCCCTAAAACTAATAATTTGTATTTAAATAGTATTCGAAATTAAGTTGCCTGTATAAGATTCAGTTTCTCTATGTTAAATTTATAACTAACTAGTTTAAGTAGTCTTGTAATTCACTGATATTTTATTTTACAATAAATATATAATTTAATAATAAAATTTTACATTTTATAAATAATCAGATATAATAAAATTATTTTAAATAAAATTTTTAAAAATTATTAAGCTTTATAATTAGAAATAATATGCATCAAAATAATGATTTAATAAAAATCAATAATTTAAAATATAATTTATTTTAAAATAATATTTTTATTGTATAGTATAAAAAATTAAAATTAAATATCAATAATCAATATATGTTAAGAATCATAATCAATATAAGATTTTTAAAAACAAACATCAAATTGGAAATAATAAAAAAATTAGATATTGATGAAAAATATAAAATTTTAAATAAACTAATAAAAGAAAATTAAGCAATAATTTTAATCTCCAAAATTTAGAACAAAATTAAGAAATATGTTAATAAAAAATAAAAATATTGTAACAGAAGGTAATGTAATTCAAATATTATTTTTAATTAATTTTAATTTTAAAATATATATGTGACAAATTATAAAAAAGATTAGCTCTACTTAGAGGTGTGCACTGGTCAGTTTTGGATAAAAATAACTCTAAATCAAAGTACACCAATCCTGTATATTAACTTTCGCTTTTATTCAAGATATTTACTAGATTGGGCGAGTCTTGATTAAAATAATGAGCAAGTTTAATAGGTCTTTTTATTTGATTAAGATCTCTGAGATATTAACTCTTTTTCTCTGCTTCGCACCATCATTACATTCACCCTTCTTTACCCAGTCCATCACTAACTCAAATTTTATATCATTTACTTGCTTTAACTACTATGTGGGAGCATCAACTTCGTCTGCAGTGAAAAGAAAAAGGAAGGCAAAAAAAGAAAGGAATAAGAAAATTGCGACCCCTCTTCATGGCAGATACTTAGGAGTCCTGTCTTCGTGAGAGAAATGGGAATAGATAGTTCGGTCAACTTTTTAGAGTGAGTAGAAGAAGAATAGTGCATCAAGCATGATGTTTGTTTACAATAAAGTGCAATATACAATTTTTCAATATTATAGTTTAGTCATTAAACTTTACATTATTTGCAAAAGGGTCTTTTTCTTCAAATTTGGTAAATTTTATTTTGTCCAACATGTCTCCCATGATATTATGATTCTTAGTTCATGTCTCCACAAGGTTCAAATCATCCTTTTAGTCCTACTGCACACATGGTCAAGTGTCTTGCACTTTTAAGGAAAATTTTTGGTCTAAGTCTATAGTATTTTACCATTTTTAAATTCAATCTTTCAAATTTATTTTTAGAATTTTATCCTCATCATGTTTTTCATATAGTCCAAGGGTCCAAATTATCCAAGGTTCCAAAAGTCCTTCTCATGGTCATTTTTATTTTTAGTCCATTTCTTTTTAGAAGTTCCTTATTAAAATTTCAAAATAGCTTAGAATACCTTTTAAATCCAAAAATGATTTCAATCAAAGAGAGGATCATAAATCCACCTTAGACAAGATAAAATCAAGTATTAAAACATAGATTTACATAAATACACAATGATCTCATGAAAATAACACATAGCAAACAAAGTTATCAACCAATATATCACTCTTTGAAGTTCATGTTGAATTTCATGTAGTTACTTATTTCAATCAAAATTATATTCATAGATCTACTAATTTATACAAATTTATCATACCAAAAAGGGTTAAGGTTCCCCTTTGACTAAAAAATCATTTAGGCATAGTATCTCTCTTAATTATGAACAATACTCTCTTAGTTTTTGGATTGATTCTAGCTTGATCTTTCTAGAGTACTCTTTCTCTCCTCCTTTTGCTCTTTCTCTTCTTCCTGGAAGTGATCTCCTTCCTCCCTTGATCTCCTCCTTTCCATGTGACCAAGGTAATCAAGAAGGTTGGTTGCTTTGTGAATTTTGTTGGATAACTTATGTTTTTGATGGGGTTGGATGCTTTGTTTAGGACTTTTATGGTAAGGTGATGTATGATTCAACTTGGTGGGGTTCAAGTGATGTGTTTTGGGTATACTTAGAGTGTTTATAGACTAAAAGAAGTATAACTCAAGAAGGATTCTCCTCTTTGCATGAGAGGTTATGTGAAAAAGCTATTTCACTTTGCATGCATGGCTTTATATAGGATTTCTTTTTGGCTTTGCTCTTCCTTGGCCCTCTCCCATGGATGCTCTCTCTCTCACAAGTGTATGAGTTTTATTTTGGTCCATTTTAGACTTCTCTCATAAGTTTACACATGTGTTACTTTGCAAAAGTAAAAAATTATCTTCCATCATGATTTTTGTACTTTGATTCTTATCCAATTGCATCACAACTCTCCTATTTGATTTCTAACTATTTTAGTTACTTTTTGAAGTTATCCTAGTCCCATTTGGATTGAGTATTGCCATAGTTACATGGCACCATTAAATTAGGACTAATTCAATCATTAGCAAAATTCCTAATTCTTATAGCATTGACTTGACTTAATTGGTTCTCATGAAACATACTTGTCTAGCTAGGATTAGATCATAATTAGCTTGTATTAAGCTTATCTCTTAAGCATGATTAGATGCACATGAACTCTAATGGATTGCATGACTTGTTGCCAAAGTTTCTAACCATTTTCTTACACATTTCACATGATTTTTAGGCTTTTTTGGAGGAATTTTTAGAATTTTTATTCTCACTTTTTGGGCACTGATTTGTCACTTCTAGATAGCTTTCCATATGTTATAACTATCATAAATATTTCAGATTTTATTTTATTCATTTGCTTCTCTGAAATAGACAACCATTTTAGGTTCTTCTAGGAGTATTTTAGTCATTTTAGCCAATTTTGCAATTATATTTATTTTCTATATTTGGTCCTTCCTATACCTCATATAATTCTTATAATTCCATTTTTAATGGTTTAAAATCATTAATAATTTTTTTAAAATATTTAGTTTTACTTATAGTACCTGATTTTTCATTAATTAGTCCTGTTTTGGTTAATTTTGCTAAGGTTATTTTAATCCACAAGTATTTATGCACTTTTTATTGAGATTATTATAATCTAATAAACATTCATAAAGTGGCAAAAATTTGGGTGTTACAATAAACTCTGCTTGCATAATAGAAGAGACAATGAGAGTTTTTTTCTTACTCTTATAGGATATCCCACCTTTAACTGTCATAAAAATATATCCTGAAGTCAATTTAATATCATCAGGGCACTCGTTAAGATCTGAAATTGTGTATCTCATAATCTCAAGGTTGTTAACCATCTTATACACAAGCATATACTCTTTGATCTCCTGTAGATACCTTATTACTTTCTTAGCAACTATCCAGTGATCATTCCCATGATTTGACTGGTATCTACCTAGAACATTGACTATAAAAGCTATATCAGGTCTAATGCATACATGAGCCTTTGCAATACACTCACAAAAGGTCTATCATTCATTTGTGCTCACTCAATCTCATTCTTAGGACATTGATCCTTATTGAACCTATTGCTTTTAACAATTGGAACATCTCTAAGTTTATAGTTTTACATATTGAATCTCTCTTAGACCCTGTTAAGATAAGCTTTTTGAGATGATCCAAGTATATAATGTGATTTATCTCTCTAAATCTCAATTCCTAGCACAAAAGAAGCTTCACTAAGATTCTTCTCAAAAGATCTAGTCAACATATGTTTTGTCTCATGCAATATGTTAAAATCATTAGAAACTAATAATATATCATCCACATAGATTACAAGAAAGATAAATTTGCTCAATACCTTGAGGTACCAATGTCATGATGATCCTAAAAGAATCCTTGGTCAACACAGCTGAAAATGCCTCTTGAAAGCCAATTCCTTGCTTTGTAAGAAACCTTTCATCTCTAGTTATACTTTAAATCTCTCAATTTTACCATTTGAGTCCTTTTTCTTAAAGACTCATTTACAACCAATTGTCTTTCAATTATAAGGCAACTCAATCAGCTCTCATGTACCATTTACTAATATGAACTA